GACGCCGCGACTTGCAGCCTGGAGGAAAGAGACGACTATTGGCAGAGGACAAAAAGAATCGAAAAGTTCACGAGCAAAAGCAGGAGATTCGGAGGGTTCGCATAGCGGGTTCTGGCAGTACGGGTCCGTCGCGAGAGGAAACATGGTGGGCCGTCCAAATCGTCTGAATTCGGACGCCGCTGGCCCGCAGCCTGGAGAAGAGGTAAAAAATGAATTGCAAGTAGATACAAAGAAGCGAGAGTGTCAGCGGCTTATGCAGAGAACTTCGGAGGGATTACAGAGCAGCTGGTAGTACGGCCCATCGCCAGGGGAAACATGGTGGGCCGTTCAAAAGGTCCGTATTCAGACGCCGCTGGCCGGCAGCCTGGAGATCAGAGGAGATTAAAAGGCATATTGAGATTTCTCGCTCAGAGAGCAGAAAAATTGAAAGGTTTGCACAGCAAGCTCCAAAATCGTACGGCTTTACCGCCAGGGGAACATGGAAGGGGCGTCCAAATTCCGTTCAAATTCGGAGGCCGCTGGCTGGCAGCGTATCTAACACAAACAAGGTCAGGGCGACTTCTCTCTTCGTGATATGCCCGAGTGCTTCGGAAAACCAATCTGGCAGTACGGGTCCGGCGCAAGGGAAAACAATCTAGGGGCGTAGATTGTCAGTATTCAGACGCCGCTGGCCGCCAGCCTGGCGATTCTCGAGGAGCTGTCTTGTAGATTCTTTCGAAAACTGAAAGTCTCGAAGGTGAAGAAGACAATCTGGAGGTATTGCACGGAAGAATTTATGGTTGCGGGTCATCACCAAGAAAGTCGCAAAGCAATCTGGACGCAAGGGTTCATCGTTTGGGCATCCAAAGATAACTTCGCTGGTTCAGGAACTTATCTGGGTCAGCGGCCGGATTCAGACGAATGCGGTCAGATCTGAAAGTCAAGATATTGTAAAACAAGGAGATTTCAGAGAAATTGCACAACTGAGTTTGTCAGTAGTTGTCTGGTGCCAGAGGGACCATCTGGAGGCGTCGAGATCAAGGGCGTCGAAGTCAATGCTTTTGCCCAGCCGCGCGGTAAGAACAGTGAGACAAGTACATTAGTACTCGTTTCCTATGTGAAAATTTGTACACTTGCCAATCGCTGCTGATGCTCTGAAGAGCGTACAACGAAGTAGACATCCGCTCTAGTTGGAGGCATGTGCAGACGAATACGTTTGTCGAATTTGGTCGCCTCTGGCTGATAGCCTTAACTAGGAAAGAGAAGGTGAAACAGCCCCGAAATATCCTGGTTTGGAGTCAAAAGGCGACATCCCTGGAAAGTCGTACAGTTACTTTCACGAAGTGAGAGGCTGTTTACTGCGGACCCGACTGACAAGCGTTCAATCGAAACCTCACCTGATTCAGCCCTCTGTACAGGCTGTTGTTGTACAGGTTGTGGTAACATGCTGTGCTGTGGTACTGCTGGTAGATGACCAGGGTGAGGCTGGAGGGTCTTGGCTGACCGATGTTGGTCAGGGGCTTGGTTCTGAGCAATGGCCGGTGTTCAATCTGGCAAGCAGTCAAAAGTCTGTTCTCAGGGATTGCTCTTGTGGCCTTGGGGTTGGAAGGCTCTCTGTCTCAGAAAAGCGTGTCGTAAGGGCTTGTAGTGGCTTGCTTATCATGTTTGCCGTCCAAGCCTTCTGAACATATCCAATTCAATATCCGTCAAAGGACTCTCGGATAATCGCGTCGGCCTCCTCACCATAAGGAAACACGCAGATAAGCCAGAGCGGCACCGAAACGATAGCCTACAGAGAGGATGGTGTTGTAGAACCTGTCGAACCAGTAAGCTGAAAATCAATCAGCGGATTTTGTAGGTAAAAGTGGCTAAATTTAAGCAAGAGTCAATGGAGGGGGAGCCTGTCTAACCTTTGAAGTTTCAAAAGCTTATGTGTTCGAGAACGACTTAATAGGTGAAACGTGTAAGGGGCTCAAAAGACTCTTTCGCTCTGGGCTGATTTGGTTCCATTTTATGGAGACAAGTTGCACATGACCGTTACTGACGACACTCTGGGGTCAATTCCATTGGGCATGGCTTCATTCTGTTGGCAGAGAACGGTCAGATGGAAAGGCGTGAATAAATAATTGGCAAAACTTCATACAGCACCTGAAATGGTTCACAGAACTGAACTTCATAGGAGAGCGACATCATGCCCTTGGACAATCTGTTGTTATTTCTTGCTGAACATTCTGCAATCCTTGAGTGTATGCCAGCAAGGGAATCATAAAACATCTGCTTCAAGTGGAAACTTCAAGTATGTACAACGCTTCACTGAGTGAAAGCATTGCTGCCAGAATGTAAATCCAACAATTCTCAAACTTTAAGCAGTCAGTGTAGTAAACCAGCGTATCACGGAAGGTTGGCTCTGGCGACCTTACCTCGACGCTGTCTCGAGTCAAGATGTACATTGCTGACATCACCAGTATGAAGGTAGCGGCCAGGCTGGCAAGGGCATTCCGGAAAGCATGCTTGAGAGACAGGCCTCGCATCACCCTGTCTCAGCCTTGCCCCCAAGCCTAGTTGTTGCCGGTACGATGCAGGCAATAGAAACCCGGACTCCGGTTTGCTACCTTCTATGCACTGCTTGCTGCTTCTTGTAAGTTTGATCCGACTGGGGAATGCAGACAGGGGTAGATGTCTGAATGTGGTCGCTCATTAGGATATAGAAACCTGCCTAAGCCGCTCTTGATCAAATGCGCTGGAACAGCAGCAAAATTACTGGATTCGAAAGCAAAACCTTCTTTCTAAAACCTTCAGAAGCTTCTGTTCCGTCAAACCGATCATTGCAACGGGGTAAGACAAAACGAGCCGGTGCGCACGACTAGTTCTCTTTGGGCTGGAGAGGCTCATCAACTATTGAACCAGCATTCAGTCAACAGGTCTCAGCTGGAAGAAAGTGTTGCTGACTTTGATCCATGCGCGCACCAGCTCCGCCTTCTCCGCAAACTTCGGGAGGGCTCTCTTTGATCGCAGCCTTTCCACCTAGAATGCAGCGTGTGACCACGCTATAATGTTGCCAAGTTGCCACCACAAACTGAACAGCTTGTAGCCAAGCAAGCAATGGTGTTGGATGCCTTTGCTGCAGACTTGCTCCTTGATGCCCTTCTGAACACCTCTGCGAATGTCTCTTGGGACTCGAGTCTTGTGCTTCTTATTTCTATCAGTGGTAACCAGGTAAGGATCCAGCCAGCCTAGCTCAGCAATCAGGTTTCAGATTGAAAGCGTTTTAAGGGGGAAACCAGCATCGACTTATACCAATCTCTATGGAATTATAATATAGCCTATAGGCAGCGAGAGCCGCATTCTGCTGCAGTGCGCAGCAGGTTGCTTAATTTCAGCCGTGCTGCTTTGCCCACACGGAACCATACATTCTGAGGGTGCATATATGGTATATGGCCCAGGGCACAGCGCCTTGAGCTGTCCCAGGCTAGCTGAGTATGGCCGTCCGAATTTGATTGGCGGTTTCCTGTCCCCGATCGACCCAGACCGACCCAAATTCTGAGAAATAATCGAGTCGGCTGATATAATGTTCTGAAACTGTGGAGGTCAAAACCGATATTTGTCGTCTCAAAACGGGATTCTGGTTTGACAATAAGACGCCATCAGTGAACATGGATACTCTGAAAGGTTTGTACCTCAGTGTGAAATCCAAGTTTACCATTGACGCCAGTGAAAACGCACGGTGCGTACCGGAAGAGGCCATTAATGGAAGTCAAATGAGAGCGGTAACGCTGATATCCGCCAAAATAACCCTTACCATTTTTTGAGGAATATTTATCATATTCTTCCGAACGACCGACCCACCCCCAGAGGGGGTGGACAGGAAACCGGAAATATAATTCGGACGGCCTTTACATTACAATTTTAATACAAATACACATGTGCAAAACACAAATTCACAAGGGAGTGCACCCTGCAAAGAAGCTGGTTCAAGAAGCATTCGCGGGCGCAGGGTGCAAGCGCAATTGAACTGTGCAGGCCACATGCGCACATCACAATGCGGGTTGTGCTGGATGGGGCATCTTTCGTTAGAGAGCTAAGTACATAAATGCTGCACAGAAAGATGGTTGCGAGGGGTCAAGAGTCTGAGACGGGGTGCAGGATAAAGCTTAGTGGCCAGCACTCAAGTTTCAGAGCTCGATCATCAATTCTTTCATAACAGTCCTGCGACCGGCATCGTGCTTAGAAAGGTGAGCTTCTATCAGCGCTCTCCTTGCAACAAAATAGAGCTGGTAGTAACAGGATAACATTCCCCCAATTGTCGGAATTACACAAGCTACGACAGGACCAAATTGCATTGTCTTTGTATGTTTATTCTTATGCCAGGGGTCTTCAATCGGTCCAGATCATTCATTTCAGGTCCTTTGTGGAATCAGCAATGCATTCAGCTACGGTACAGAAGCGTGTATTCAACTTGCCTACTGTATGCTCAGCCTGTGTCTTCAAAGGAAACAGGACCAGCTAGGCCCAAACCTAGTCAAAACCTTACACAAAAGAAATTGTAAAGAAACGGGATTGTTTTGATACAGGTAAACACACGCCAACTGATGCGCTGAAAGGCGTCAAGCAGCCCTTCTGACAATCATGGGGTTCTTTGTATCTGCATTCCTGTCTTTGATAGGCTACGGATGGGGCCTTGCTCTAGGTCTCATAGCAGGCTACCTTTACTACCTGCATCCAACAACCAAGGCCGAAAAGGTAAGGTTAAGAGCCGTGTTCTGAATCAAGTCTGGTTACACTTCCCCTTTTCAGGGTTGATCGGGGTGAAGTCTGACTCAGTTCAGCAAGTAAGCCATAGAATTCCTTTTGCAGGCGGCTATCGCTGCCACCTTTGAAACCTCGAAAGATGTTGTGCAGCCCCATAGACAAAATGATGTCTCCAGCTTTTACACAAGTCCATTGCTCTCAGTGTAGCTATTATGAAAGTGGGCCCCTACAGAGGGCATAGGGTCTCCTCGCTGCCACCGGATTGTCAGATGAGATTTAAAACATTCTTCTTGATAATTGTTCTCTGTTTGACTTGAGGAACTGGCTCCTACTTCATCTGGATGTCAGTAATTCCACAAAACATATGCATGTTCATCCAACTACCAGACATGTTAGTGCTGACTCGCTCATTAGTTTTAACGGAACGCGTACCCTCTACCTTGACAAGGTCTGGCCCAGTTGAGAAAGTGTCTTCTCTGGTTGCTGGTTGCGATGCTCACCTACTTAGCTTGTCGAATACAGCCATAACCTAGCCCTCCCCCCTCCTCACAACCCTCAGCAGAACAAGAACTACGATCTCTCTGTTGAGGCACACCATCACTTGTTCCAAAGCCAATGAAGACGAAATCAGGGGCTGTCATTTCCATCGAAGCCCATGGCAGCCACAGCACTGACTCTCAGGACTTCAAAGTGCACCCTGTCAGGATAAGGCATACCCAAAGGCGGTCTGACGCCGTATGGTGAGACAGTTTGTAAGTCCTAAGAAATTACCCCAATGACAACCACAACACCAGTGATATCTCCTCTTCAGACCTGTCTCCCATTGTGTTCTGCAGCCCAAGAAGCCAAAACTTCAGCGGGCAAGGACGCTCAGCCCCTCTATACTCAAAAGCGCCATGAACCAGATTCCCGCTTGGACGATGTACCCTGATTGGGATAGGGTGAGCTTTGTTGGTATTTCCTTGTTTTGGATGCTCTATGCTCGATTGTATCATCCGTTGGATTACCTTTTGTTACCAGATCAGGGCCAGAATCGTCGAAACCAGAATATTTGCACTTCACCTTTGCAAGGCCTTCCACTCACATACACTTGATTTACAGGCTTTATGATACAACGGCACCGAACAGATAGTTCGCAGGGACTTAGAAGGATCCTTCCGGTTAGTATTACATGGTACCAAAAGAGGGGGTGTGCTCACCGGGAATGGGCCTGCCATTTGGCTGTGGTCAGGCTGAGGGTACACAAATCGGGTCCCCCAGTCTATGGGTAGAGAGTTTACCCCATGAGCATCTAATTCTCGACGTCAAGGTTCAGAGAAAGAGGCACGTGTTCCACTCCCTCCTTTAGTAGTGCTCGTAGTTCGCCTTGACTCGTCAGTTTCGGTTGGATCCGGTCGGGGCAGGGACTGGGCTCTTCCGCACTTGATGCCAACTGCTGATAGTTGAAGTCTTATACCAAGTTGCGGAACTCCTCTTATCAAACCCTTTCTGGCAGTCTGCTGAAACTCTGAGTATGGTTGTCTACCTTCTTCGCAGACCAGTTTTCTCAACAAGGCAGCCAGTAAGCTATGGCCATACCTAGACACCGCCGTTCGAGACACCGTCTACGAGATGGTCCCGCCAATCATTGAGCAATACCGCCCCAAGCAGATTACCAAGATTGAGATCGAGGAGCTTTCGCTGGGGGACTTTCCGGCCACTCTCGAAGGTATGTGGTCGTGTTACACATACTGCATGATCAGCTCCCTGAAATTCCGGCCCTTCAACTACGAACGACGATGGAAGATTGTTTTGAACTCGGCTAGTCCAAATCTGTGCAACTTTGGGTGTACTTCCACGTCAAAGTCTCTGACATATGCAGGGGCAACAAAGGCGGCCAAACATTTCCGTCTTTCCTTCACCTTCCGAAGTCTGGGGGACGTCTGGATTCCTGATTAGTCGCTTCTCTGGTAACGGAAGAATTCTTTCTTCGGCAGTAGCTTGGAACCTTCAACATCTCTTAAGGCTGTAAATTTCGATGCTGCGGATATATGGCAAGCTCAGATTGGAAGGCGGACGGTTGCGCCAGTAAATGTTCACGCCACCATGCATAGAAGCCCTTTATCAAAGCTTCCGATGCTTCCGCAGGCACTAAGGGTATTTTAGTAGGAAGGATGTCAAAAGAACTGTGAAGAGCACACAAGCTTGACTATTCAGCTACTTCCACAGGCGCTAAAGCGTTTGACACGGTGGATAACTTAAAGGCCATACACGATTGACTCTTGAAATGCTTCTGCAGGCGCTAAAGTGTTTGATACAGTGGATGACGAGATGATTGTCGAGACGACACTGAAATGGGCGAGCAACGGGAGGGCAAGGGTCGGGGTCCATGCGTTTGGCCTCAAGCTAACTGTAGAGGTAAGATCGGAGTTCCACCCACTCTTCACACAGTAGTACCCCGTCTCACGTTGATGCAACTACGTTGATATGGCCGACCGTATCGTCCATATTCTAACGCCTTTTTGGCTTTCGGGCTGCTCTTACAGGCGTCGAGTACTCCCTGTCGTCCCTTGTCTGAACAAGGTTACTTGCCGGATTATTCAGCAGAATTTAAACAAGCCTGGAATCTCCGGACGCATCTCGGTATGTTCGGACATTTGTCGACGTTCCAGACGGCTCCTGCAGGCGTCCGAGTCGTAACAGAGCTTCCTTCTCGAGAGCCAGTTGCACGATATCAGGCTAGGTTGCCTGAAAATTTAGCACGTATCCAATATTCTCGAACAACCGGGACAAATCTGGATACGTCCGAATTTTCATCAGCGGATCGGACGGCGTCCGAGCCCTCGCAGACAATCCTTCCCAAGAGCGTCGGGTGCATGTGATCATAACAAAATGCCTTGAAAGACAATCTTCCAACGAATTATGATAATCTGCACAGAATCGGACCCATTCGGACAACTCTTTGACCTTTTGAACGGCCCCTGCAGGCGTCCGAGTTCTGGCTGTCCGTCCCCGTCCGCGCCACGTTCCGCCCGCTCGTGCCCGTCTTCCCCTGCTTCTCCAGCATCCGCGTCACCATGCCCAACAAGCCACGTGTCGACTTCTCGTTGAAGATCGGCGGGGCTGACGTCATGGCTATCCCAGGGCTCCTTCAGATCGTGCAGGTGGGGGGACATGCAGCTTTTCGTTATCGGTGTTGTAGAACGTTGAAGCACGCTCTGAGTGTTTTCGAAGGTCGATTCTGCTGACGTCATGGTCATTCCCGGCCTCTCGGGGTCGTACATAGTCGTTTGTAAAGTCGCAAACGTTTTCGTCGCTTCTCAGAGGGTCGGAGGATCGGATTCGCCGACTTTTTCAGACGAGCTGAATGCAATCAACTGCTGCAGGTGACAAGCGTTTCTTATGTTCCGACGATCAGCGCGTTCGGTGAAATGAGCCGCCGCACTTGAGCAAGTGGTTTTCATCTCCCAATGAAGACTGTGTTGAGCAGTTTGTTTGGGTCTCGAGTTGTCGTACTGGAGGACTAACGTGTCCAGATTCTGTTGGCGTTGCTGATGTCAGGGCCATCGGAATTCGGCTTGTTTGAAGCCTCTCCTTGTCAAATCCATCCTGAGCCTCTTTCTGCTTCTTTGATCCCCTCTTATCAATGTGGATCAAAGGCCTCTGTTAAGCTTCCTTGGTCATTAGTCCAATATACGCCGCTTGCTTATTGGTTCCTTTTGTAATTAATCACTGTGTAGTACAAAACTGGACATCAAATGCACGCAGCAGAGTGTCACGATTGATATCCGCAAAGGGCACTCACTACTTTCTTTTGTGCTCTTGCGTTCGAAGTGCGTGTGTGGAGCGCAGAAGCGGAGGCACAGAAGCTTCATTAGTTTGTCACACATCAAACAGCTGCAAAATCAACTGCAGGTCAGTAAAAGGTCAGTGACTGTCCTGGTCGCGATTGAACGCCTGCACGCTGACATTTGCTGACGTCGTACTGACGTGGCAGGACCAAATACGGCAAGCAGTGGCGCAGCTCTTCCTCTTCCCGCAGTCGATGGAGGTCTACACCATCGAGATGGGCTCGTAAGTCGTTCAGGTTACGAATTACGGGTTTACGGGTCACGGGTTTCGTTCGGGCAGTTACCAAAACTGCAGACACCTAAGGTTCACCGTCGACCGAAAAGTACTAGGCTCACCAGCTTGGCATCTCCGGTCCGCGTACAGCTTTTGTACACTGCTTCTCTGGCGAAATCCTGTACTAGGTCTGTACATTTTATGCTACGTGATTGATTGAAGCATTTTGATTGCTCCGGAGGGCCGAGGATGAGCGCTCACCCATTTCGGAACCTACCCTCTTTTTCGACTTAAAGCTTGTTCCATCAGTACAAGCAAAAGTAGCTCTGTCCCTTGTGTCTACGACAATGTAATCGAGCTTGAAGTCGGCACTGCGGTCTTGGATATCGTAGCAACGTTGCGATACTGCTAAAGGAGACTATTTTTGACTCGTTTGGCCAGCCAAAGAGGACAATAGCAATTGCTTCGGGGATTGTGGACAAGAGCCAGATTCGATTGTCCAGGCACCTTTTCCGTTGAGTGGAGACTGCATATATTGCAATGACGTGTTGAACCACGGATTCCAAGGGGCAGCTTGAATTGACTCTCAGAATCTCTTGATCTTCATCCTTGAAACAAATAAGACGAGCGCTTTCAAGATTCTTTGAGGACACTGGGCCATCCCGAAAACGTTTCTCGATGAGTTCCCAAGTCACCGTCCAAGTTACTGCAGCCAAATCATCACCGGGAAACCAGTACTTTCCCCTCAGTTGATGGATGTACCACACCTTCATATCTATGAGAATCCATCTATCAAGCTGCCGTCTTTCTTCGCTTACAGAACGACTCAAAGACCGACTGGCGCGTTGTACGTCAAACTGATCGAGGGCAAGGACCTGAAGAAGACGGACGTGTTTGGGACTTCAGATCCGTTTGTGGAGTTGTGGCTAGACGGCAGTAAACGATACACTAGCGACGTGAGTAGTCTATTTGCTTTTTCTGGTCTCCCTTTTCTCTGTCAGCTAGTGGTACTTCCGTTCCGGTTTCCACCTGTTCTTGCGCTTGAAGCCAAGAACAAACCAATTCAGGTTGCTTCCATCATATTTAGATTCTGGTTGTGTCATCCCTTTGTGGGGCCTTTCGGTAAAAGCCAGCAATCCCCTTTTCGGTCGTTCATATTTTGTCATTGCACCTTCTGTTCCGTAATCACGATAGACATCTCTGTCTTTATGAGAAGATCAAACATCCTGTCGTTCGAGCCTCTGATTCTCAAATTTGGGACGGCAGTAAAGCTCACTCAAGAATACTAAGGTTTCACCGTACTTCCTATCTCACTTGTTTTGCTTGCTGTCCTTTTCTTGCCTCTGTGCTCTTTTCGCCTTACTTCACTTTTCCCTTTCGAGATTTTAACCGCTTCTATTACCGCCCTTTTAGTGAGCGTCCAATATCTTAGGAGCCCTTTGGCGATCTATGCGATCAGATTCTGAGTTGGAGATACATCTAGTGAGTTCTCGGGTTGCAAAAATCGCACGTTGAACATTCAGCGGACAGTAGCAAGGATCATACATTGCTTTGCGCTAGTGATGCGCTTTTTCCTACGCTCTCATTCCATTTACCACTTTCCAGAGGCGCTTCGGCAACGCAAAAACAATCTAGTGTGTCAGATGCGTTTTCTAATGCAAGCGTTCTCTGTTTCAGGTCAAGCACAATACGCTCAACCCAAAGTGGAACCAGATGTTCAACTTCCTGGTTCGTGATCCGACCAACGAACGGCTCACGATACAGCTGTTGGATCGGGACAAAGTGGGGTCAAAGAAAGTAAGTTCGACCTAACCCGAAACTAGCACACAGTTACGTCATTTAGAAACCGTGAGTATGTAAAGCCTTGTCTTCTCTTAATGTTCCTCCGCTAGATTCGGTTTCACTGAGTACAGGAAGAAATCAAACTGGGGGCCTGAAATGGAGGCTGACTGTCCGGATGTCGAAGCTTTTATGGAGAACCGAATGTCACAGCCTTCAAGTCTTGTTGAGCAATTTTTTTAATGTCCTACTAACATGAGGGTTGTACGCTGCCTCGTCTAGATATCAAGAGTGGTCTTGATGATTGTACGAACGTGGCTTGCCTATTGAAGTCGATTTGGATTGTCGCTAGCCGGAAAAGAGTTTTAAACCGCACTTTTGAGATTCTTGAACCGGAATTGAGTCTCTCTCATACTGAGGCCTATTCTTGATCCTTAAATATCAGATCCAACTTTTATTTCGCGCTGAAATTTCCAATATGGGACCACATGCGCAGTCTACCTTCAGTGTAACATACAGCTCAGAATCGCAAATGCCTCGATCGCCCTATTCTAGAATTCATTGAAGGAGCGTGAATGCTTCGAGGAACAACAGGGGTCTATGCTGGAGCTGAGACCCCTACTTCATGTAGACGATGTCTACTTCAAAACCGAGACGCGGCAGAGAAAATGATAGAATCGACGACTTGAGTAAAGGGAATGAAAAACCGCGCAGTCCAAACTAAGACAGGACGTACTTTTTCAGGTGGCGATGTGTCAAATCGACTTTGCGGACCTAGAGCCCAACGAGTTGCGCGACTATTGGCTGGACCTGAAGAAGGATCTGGAAGGCGACGCAAACCCCAAAAACGCAAAGTTCCGTGGGAAGCTCCACCTAGAAGTTGAATACCGTCCGTTTGCCGGGGAAGATTTGGATCCGGTTGAGGTGGGCGGAGTGGTGGGCGGAACGGACGGAACGGAGATGATACAACCGGACGTGGAAATTCCGCAGGGGGGCGGGCTGCTTTCCATTACGATAGGGCAGGGGATCGATTTGATGCCGGTCGATCGGGGCACGTGTAATGCGTACGTGGAGTTCAAGTTTAGGAACGAGTTGCACATAACCAAGGTGGGAAGATCTTACTCGTTTCGCCTTCCATCCCTCGTTTCGTCTGACACTTGCGTACTTATTCTCCTTGAGGCCAGATCGACGAGAGCTCTAATAGAAAATCTCTGCTGCTTCGGCTTTCTCCGTGAGGGCGGAATGCTTTTCTGCCGTGTCATTTCACTAGTTACAACCTGTATTGCTGACGAGTGTCTAAGCTGAGAGACGCGATACGCTTTCGCCGCTCGAGGGCGTCTGCGCTCCTACTCTCTTTCCTTTTTTTGTGGTAAGTTACGCAGCTGAGGCCTGCGGCCTAGAAATGGTGGTGTCATGCTCGTTTGTTCTAGAGCTGAATAGTGATTTGTTCTCGATTCACGTTCTTGGGTGCGACGTACCTTACCAGGCTGAGGTTTGCCATTCAAGCGCCTATCCGTTTTCCGGTCCTGGAAGCGGCGATGCTTCCTGAATAGCCGTCACAATCTGTCCGACTAGGGCCGTTTCAATTGTTCAAGAGGGAGATTCTCAAACGCCTTTCCCTACTAACGATTTATGCAGGGACACAGTTCCGAGAGGGTTAGTCTTCTCCAAACCCCATCAGTTGATGTGCAATAGCATAAGCAAAGCACCAAGGAAATGGTTTATTAAGCTAGCCGACGTTCTGCCGATGACCCACGCGACTAGTCGGCCTGTACAACTGGCAGGACGTGGAGCGTCTAATCTCGTTGAATGGGTGTAAGAACCTGCAAGGTTACTTCGTGTACGGCTTTTACCGACCGGCATGGTAGGATTCCGAATGTTCGAAAATGATAATTAATGAAGAAATACGACCGATTTTGGCGACTTTTTTAACGAATGCGACCCTGAATCCGAATCTCCCCTGGAGGACCATCCGAGCACCTTTTCGCCCCTGAAAACCCGCTTCTGGAGTGACCGGTTGATACTTGTTACTTTCCGACCGTGCTCGACCAATTTTTTTCTGAATCCGAATGATCATTTTCCAAACCAAAAATCGGATTTCTAGCTTTCCGATAGGCAAATCAATATTTAACCATTCGGAATCATACCTTGCCGGAACAGTATTTGACCCGGTTGCGAACTCAGTTTGCAAGCAACCCACTGATCAAACCAATGCCTCTGCTATGCAGGACGTGAAGAAAGACACGAACCCAGACTGGGGCGAGCACTTCCAGATTCTGTGCGACAGCCCGCCGCGGGACGAGTTTCTGTTCATCCGGGTGTGGCATCGCAACCGGGGGAAGGATAAGCTATTGCGGGCGATGACGAACATCAAGCATCTTGTGAAGGCCAACATTGAGGGCAAGGTAAGAAGGGCTGAGGCATCGCTACGTTGCGAGCAGCCTGCATAGTCTTTCTGCGGAAAGTCAGGGGTGTCCTTTTTCGAAATCTCTTTCTGGCTGCTGTAAGAGGGGGCGTTCCGCCACGTGGCTCTTGGGCGGACACACAGTCCTGGACCTGGGACTAAGTTTTGCCGTGGACTTGTTACTGCGTGCACTTTCGGGCGACCATCAGAGCGGAGCTTCGCCTTGAATTGTCGCCTTAGGGTACCGGGTCTACTGACGCCTTTTTTTGAATTGTGGCCTGTGAAGTCTTCTCTTGCGCATGCGGGAATCTATGAGAGCTGAGGTCACTTCAGAAAGGTCAGGCGCAGCTTTGCGGCATTCTCAAGAGACCAACGTCACATTTTCTGCAACAGCTTTCCAGTTTCGATTAAACGCAACGTCTTTGGGGGCCACTGTGTATGCGCAAACGCTTGCTGGATATTTGCTCAGTTGCTCGACGCACTTGCAAGAATACTGGGCCCTCTTGGCAGAATCACTTGCCAAAAGTCAGGTCAGAATGGGAGCGCACGTGTTTGAGTTGGAAATATACCCCTGCAGATACATATACCTTCAAATTCCTCTTTCGCTGTTGTTGGATGCATCTGCCTAGTACGGCTGTGAGCGCTGCCTTCGTTTGAGCATGTGTAAGGAAGCCTCAACGAGTTGCTTTAGACCCCATGAATATAGCAACGGTCGAGAGCGGCCAGATTCATTGGCGTTTGAAAGTACCATCAGGCAGCGCTCTGACATAAGCTTTTGCCTGTGCAGAAATCTCTGGGCGATTGCATGATCAATCTCTCCGATGTAGTCAACAACAGGAGGATCAACGACGTGTACCAACTTGAGCACACCAAAAAGGGGTCGATCAAGGTTGAGTTACAGTGGCTCACGACAGGTCAAAACTAGGACCCTTGAGAAGAGGCTCGCTACTGGTCTACAGAATATTGTTATTTGAGGAGTTGTTTTTAGAATATGACCCGGCTTGCTGGTCCACTTACAGAAGCCTTTGACATATAAACTTTGATTCACGTTATTTGATCTAAAATGGAGCAGGTAACGTTCAGTGAGTTCAGAGTGCCACTGTAGACCGTTTGTGCTGGCCGGATTCTTCGTGGTTTGCGGATATATAGTATAGTCCAAACGATGTGTGTTTTGGCCCGTAGGTCCGGTTCAGAAGTGACGGAAACATGGAGTCCGCAAAGAGAAATTGCTTGGAAAGAGCATTGCATGTCTATAGCTCTAACTTAATTTTGTCAATATGGCCATGATTATGCTATCCATGGGATTTATGTACGCCAACGTATGAACAATAATCAGGGCGCGACCGTGCCAGAATCAGTGGTTGCAGTTGACCGTCGATGTTCGCTTTGAAGGCATGCTAGAGAAGCGAGCATGCGAGTCTCTAGCTGCATCCGGGATCAAATTTCAGATCGGGCTGCAGGGAACTCCTTCTATATGGCTAAGTTGGATCTTCCATCACAACTTCACACTTTTTCTTCGCCCGCTGCATGGCTACGTACTAATACCGAAAAAACCATCTTTCTCGATCGAAGCACATTAAAATTGGAGCGAGCGGAGGCACTAAAGATATTCTGGACCTCTCTCCTCGCGAGGCGCACTTGAGGCCTTTTGATTTTTTTATCTGCAATATATGAATAATCTGGCCACACGCAGCTCATCATCAGGAGTCTGCGGACTGGCACACCGCTTTGGAGCGGATTTTCAAGTCAAGTTGCTAGTACTGATTCACTTGCATGGCTGCTAATGCAGCGGTGTACTGTGCCTAGAACGTTTCCGGACATGCCGTCACTTCATCTATGAGGGGAGCACCGGTGGTGGTGTCGACCGGCCCCTCCCGAGTGGTTGCGCTTCTCTTCTTGGCGACATATGGCCATGACAAATTAGGAGATGTTCGTTTGCGCCAGGCATCTGCAAATGCAGCAAAGTCATCTTCGGTGAGCTCGGCAAACGGTCTGTCATTTGGCAGTAATGCCAGACGGTCTCGAAAAAGAAGGCCTCGCTTTTTGATCACTTGGCATCTTGAGTGCCAACAGCGATGAAAGGATTCCGCTAGCAGAGTATGCAATAGACGTCCAATCTTTAGTGAACACTTTGACAGTGACCGCACGAACGCCGACAATTCGCCGGCCGCCACACCCCCGACCCCCAGAATTTTGCGAAACTTTTCACGCCAGCCGCCAGGCTGACCCCCCCGTAATTGAGAACAAAAAAACTTAAAACTGCGCTTATAACGCAGAATACGGCCTATTTTGGTAAGAAATCAGCGCATATTCACTGTTGGTGTCTCATACGTATGTCAAGTAGGCTAAATCTACCACAATATATTGAAAACTGTTTTGGTATTTGCGGGCGGGTCCGCCCGGGGTACTTTACCCGGCTGCCGCCGCCGCCGCCGGACACCCGACCCGCTCGTCCACCGGGCACTTTCGCCAGCCGCCGACCCACCTCTCCGCCATTTCAATTGTCGGCGTTCGTGCAGTGGCTGTAAAACTGTTATGAGACCACGCCTTACACGAAGAGATACAGAGCGGCTCGAGCCATTCTCGCGCACTTGAGGCCGCTTGCAGCACAATCTGCCTCCCAGCGTACCAACGCTGAGGGTAAACGAGACTACATTTACCGGTACTTGAATACCATACTACCGGAATTTTCTGTAAGCTTTACGTCACACACTCAGGACTGAGCTTTATAGTGGCAGACGTCACATCACACGCGTAATAATACCGTCCGGCGTCACCGTCCCCATGCTGGATTCGCACTAAGGGTACCGTCATTTTGTACCTGGTACCCCCCCATATTTAATTGGGGGGGGGGGGCTCGAGGCCTCAGTGGTGACGCAGGGTGGAGGGGGGGGGGGGGCTTGGGGGCATTCTGAGAATCAGGGCCCCCATGGGGGGAAGGCTTGAGGCTTCCCGAGCGGGGGGTCTTATGAGCGGCGTTCACCAACATATCTTTGTGTTTGTCCCTCAAAATGAGCATCAAAAGTGTCAAAGTGGTTCGCAAACTTCAAAGAGCTGCCCTGCGGGGCTAACTAGCTTTCAAAAAGCGAGGGATATATACGAGCATTTGCCAAAACCATACAGGCAAAAATTTCAAAAAAACGGGTTTCTGGCTTTGGCTTCACTGCCCTCTTATGCAGCAGGGCCTAGGGGGGGGGGGGCTTGGGGCCTCTCGGCGCAGCCGAGGCCCCCCAGGGGTCCTGGCAAGGGGCAACTTCCGAAAATGGTCGATTTAAATATGGGGGGTACCAATTACAAAATGACGGTACCCTTTAAACTGCTGGGATTCTCCAGAATTCGGCCCGCCCCCAGGCTTGAAGCTGAGGTTTGAACAGTGACCATTGGCATGAGGGACCATTTCAATCTCTCTTTCTCTCTCTCTCTCTTTCTCAAGATACATGCTACGTAGCATCGCCCTTCTTGCCAGGTACCTGGTAGTATTCTTCTTTGCGTTTAAGTTTCAAGCAGCTTGCATTCTCTTCTCATATTGCTGTGTACGCGGGGTCACCTTCATCCTGCATTCATTGGAAGGTCAATTGGAGCACGGTCAAGCAAATGCCAGCCTGCACAGTTCTATTTGCAGCAGCCAGCTCCGTCCAAGGATGCAACGAGCAGATAAATTGTCATATGCGTTCTTTTGGGTCTACTGAAAACTGTAACCTGATAAGAAACATCCGCCTGATGAAAAAGGGGCTGAAGAAGTGGCACAAGCAGCTTTGAGGTCGTTGTCTATTCACCAAGACTCAAGAGCTGGGTGATTGAAATTTTGATAACCGCTCATAGTTGCCGGCACGTTGGATATAGGCAGATAGTCAATCCGCTCTACAAACATACTAAGCGTAGAAAAGAGCCAGCATATCGAGTTTCTGCTCTCTGAGCTTTCTTTTCAATCACGACATCCTGCTGCAGCCGGCATGCCGTATTGCAATCTAAGAACAATCAAAAAGTTGCTTCAGCACATCTGGAAGCTCTAATTTGGGCATAGACGACCGGGTTGAAGGTGAGCTATTAAATGCAACATTGCACCACCATATTGTTAGATTGCTTTTCTCTTTCTGCTCGCAAAAGCTTTTTGTCTTTTTGTTGTTTTCCTCCAGATTGAAGCTGATATGAGTCTGTACCCTGGAAAGAACCCAACTGTAAAACTTGAGCTTGCCCTTGGAACACTTTTTACCCAGGGCTTCGTGCTTCCGGACGACCCTTACCCCGCTCCTTGCTTGTATTTATTTCTCAAGGGTTTATCATGAGGCGGATCTCTGTGATCAAGTTCAGCATGCTTTGTCTGAGGCCGCTCGAAGAACTTTATACAACAGAAAGGACTCGAAAGGGTTGGGATGCATTGCATAACGAGAGTATGAGCAAGGACGTCAACCTGAGTGATGGAATTTTCAGAGACTGGTAGTAGAGCCATATCTGGACAAAGCATACGCGTCTCACAACCAAAAGAATTGTATGCTTGTGGATCACTCCTCAGGCTGGATCGTCAATTGCATTCGAGACTGCCGGTTACAGAAACCTTGGTAGAGTCGATGAGCAGGGGGCTTATAGAAAAGATCGTGGCATAGCTTGTGAATGCGCGTGCAGATGAAAAAGATGGATGGAAAGTAAGGAGGGTGGGTCAATCGTGGTGGGGTGAAGTGACACGAAGAGGGCAGCTCTGCGTAAGAGGAAACAGAGTGCCAAGGCTGAAAAACATGGCTGCTCCATTGTAATGTGGTCCCCTCAATCCACTGGCCTGTTGAGATAACTGGAAGCAATAAACCAGCGGTCCAGATCTGCTTGTGAATCACGACCTGACACAATATATAATCTGGAATCATAATGATTGTGTACTAGCTCCCTCTTGTGATTCAACCAATGCAGCACTGCTTTCAGATTCAGATGGCAATTCGCTTCGCCTGAGTGTATACTTGCTTATGAAGGTTCACAAGCCAGCAGAAATTCATCGTCACGGCGTCCTACCATACCCTCTTCTCCTCGTTCTGAGCTTCCCTTGATTATTAGCTTTTTTCAACCCAGAGAGAACAGCTCTACCCATGGAATACCTACGATTTTTCTGGCTGAAACCCCTTTCTACATCTTTCCAGGCCCTCATAAGCTCCACATAGCTCCATAAGCTATGGCCGGGGTCAACCTGAATATAGTCACAGCGGAGCGTCCCCCTTTTGTGTTCAAAAGCAGTCGCACGGACGGAGGCGGAATCTGGTTTGGTTTCCTGGTCGAATTGCTACCGTTGCTGTTTCAATATGCCAACCTGAATGTGACGCTCAATTACTACGAGTCCCCGACAAACGAGGGTGGAAGCCTACTGCCAAATGGAACGTGGTCTGGTGAGCTTGTTGGCCTTTGCTCTTCAAGTGATTCAGGGGCTTTTGGGTTCCCAAGTTAGTGGCGTTTATTAACAGGAAATAGAAATGGACAGATCTGGAGGGTTAGGAACCTCGGTCAGGAGCTGCGCAGCAATTGCGTTGGGGTTTCTTGAAGTTACTGGGAACGTTGTTTCAGACTGGTTCGGGTTTGGGTTGAGCTGAAGGTGGTAGTTATGAAGGAGCTGCTTTCCTGAAAGCAGGTTAAGGTGGCGGTCAAGCACAGTCAGAAGTGTTAACTTGAGAGTTATTAGGGTGTGGGTTGGGGATACTTAGGGAGGGCTGAAAAGCGGTTAAAAAAGGTCGGATACGGCGGGTTTCAAAGTATCCACCTTAGACCTACAGGCATCAGCTTAAATGTTTGTGGAAGGACGGCACCATCAAATTCTGTATGAATAAAGTCACACAAACTGGAATCCGCTTCCAGCCGGTTTTAGGGTTTTACGGATTTCGCATTCGCAGGCACGTCCAAAACGCCCCGTCAGCCTAAACAGACCCAAACGTCCAACACATCATTTCTGCTTAAAGGCGGTGTGCCATGCCAAAGACTACTCCGTGTGGCTTGATTATGTTGACACTACTAAAGAAATTTTCTGAAAAATCTTTGCATTGCAGGAGTGACCGGGGAACTGGTTTACGGGCGGGCCGACATAGCGACTTTCCCTTTGGTCCAAGCCCCCTGGCGGTGTGCCAGTCCACAGACTATTTCGTGTGGCCTGAAATTTTTGACACCAAGAAACGAATCAATTATCCTGCCTTGCAGGAGTGACCGGGGAACTGGTTTACGGGCGGGCCGACATTGCGGCTTTCCCCTTGTTCCTAACACCAGGGCGTACCGCAGTGATCGATCTCACATACTCGTACTATGAGTCGGGTCTCGGAGTGCTCGTCCAAAAAGAGGTTAGTCCCTTAAAGAGGACACTTCAAATATGGTTATCTCTCGTTTCGGGTCTCGGGGTGCTCGTGCCGAAGGAGGTTAGTCGCTCAAACTGAGGGTTAACCGCTTTAAGAGTGGCGCATCGCAGGCCGGTTATCTCACGTATTCTTTCTACGAGTCAAGTCTCGGAATACTCGTTCGAAAAGAGGTTAGTCGCCCAGACCTAGGGTTAGTCGCTTGATGAGGGCGCGTCAAAGGTCGTACTCCTACTACAAGTCGGGTCTCGGAGTACTCACTCAAGAAGAGGTTAGGCGCTCAAATCAAGGGTTGATGGTTTAACGAAGGCGCATTACAGTGCGGTTACTCTCACATCCTTTCACTACGAGTTGGGTCTTGGGGTGCTCGTGCAAAAAGAGGTTAGTTTCTCAAGGAAAACACGTTACATACGACCATCTCACGTCCGCCCACTAAGAGTCAGGTCTTTGGAGGCTCGTCCAAAAAGAGGTTAGTCGCTCAAACAGAGGTTTAGTGGCTTCAAGAGGGCTGGTCACAGGGTCCGTCGAAAAAGTGGGTACCGTCGAGGTGAACGGTCACGAGTCCTAGCAGCGTTTCTGCTCGGGGAGGAATCTCATCTATCTCCGTCTTCTGGGGACATAAAGCAGAAATGCTTGCTGTGCACTCGCCTTTCTTCAGCTTCTGATTTCCTGGTCTCAAGATAGTCAGGGCCTCTTTGGAAGCCTACCTTTTCGAGGCGCTGCATCAGGGATTGCGCCAACGTTCAGTTTCAGATTGTCAAACGTCGCAATTCTTATTCTTTTCCCTTAGCGTCCACGTTGTAACTTGCGAACGCCTTTGGCACGTGAGTTCCTTTTAAAGCCCTGCTGCGCTGGACACATCGGAGTGACTCCTGCAATTTGAGACCTGTGAACCTCAATCCTCTGATGCGCTGAGAATTGAAACCTCCAATCCCAAACCATAAACCCTTAGCCGTTTTCTGGACCATGTGCCGACCGTTTAACTCGTCATTCGCAAGCAACCCTGGTACGGACCTTTTCCTTATGCTCTCCGTTTCAAAACCTTGTATAAGTTTGGGCCTTTAAGAAACGAGAGGCCGGCGAAACCTCGAGTTCTAAAGTTCAGGATTTAAACCTTTGCCCGAACAGATTGCAGGCACCCCCGGTACGGACCTCTTTCTAAAACCCTTCACTCCCGCGCTCTGGTTGGCTCTCATTGCGACGGTCCTCGGAATGGCCATCGTCTATCACCTACTCTCGTGGGCTTCGCCTTTGGGCGAGTTTGAAGTCGTTAAAGTGCGCAATGTGTCTACGAACTCCCCCGTCGAAGAGTTCTCCATTAACTCAGGTGAGCCACACGGTCTTAGCAATAAAGTGCAGTTCTTGTCCCCCAAGTTCGACAGAATTTTTTCGTGTAGTCTAAACGTTTACTGCTGTCCGTAGGGGCCAAAAGTCAAGGAGCGCACTGCAGTCGATGGACCGTTTGACGGTCGAAACTTTCGAGCGATGTTTAGGTTTTGCATGGTAGAGAACGTTCCCATTCTAGGGGCGTCAGAATGAGTGTCGCCCTTGAGGGGGGGTGAAGGTTTGAGGGTCAATATGAGTTTTCCTTGTGGCTAGACTCTGATCACGTCTCTCTTGAAGTTTGTCTGACAGCTGTAGTGGTTTGGTGAGCTTTTGATGATGGTCTGACACACGAGACAAATCCCATGTCAATCGTTTGATGCCGAAACGAAATTTTCAATGCGAGCTTCGTCGTACTATGACGAGTATGTCGTCCACTTCATTTTTATCGAAGCTAGTCCTTCCTGAACTTGCTCGCTTTTTTGGCGCAGAGAACGAGTCGTTTCTGCTGGACGCGCTTCTGGTGAGCCGCACAATAGTTGCTCCTTCCCTCTTTCGAGCTACGCTCCCTCCGAAAAATCAGAACTTGGAATCAATCACAATTGAAACGGGTGATTGTCTTGGGACTACATTCTAGCTTGCGGAAACGACTTTTCGTGGCTCTTCAAGCTGGTGTATCCTAGTTTCGTTTTGTGAGTTTGCATTCTCCTGTGCATGAATCAGATGCTCATCACTAGCAAGACTCTGCTACATTCAGGGACAATCAAAATCAGGTATTGAGAATTGGTTCCCCGGTACTATGGGTGCGTGCTCGAGTTTCTGCTTCAGGACATTCAGCAGCTCTCAGTATTCCTCTCTGGTTGTGTGACTTCACTTGTCGTCTAGGCTGACGTAGGAGCCCTGTTTCCTGACGCAGGCGGCCATGACCATCTGCGCGACTCCACGTGGCAAGAGCTGGTCCATCCGCATCCCCAGCATAGCGTATTACTTCTTCACCATGATCATCGTGGCTTCGTATACGGTATGCCCACTCGCCCGCATATTCTTTCCAACTTCAGATTGTTAAGGAGCAAAGACTACTATAGGAAGTGACGACTTGGTAGTAGACCGAGTTGGGTCGGAGGTACTGTGATGCTTGTAAGGTGCTCGTACCAAGCTGATTCTAGCTCTTGATATATATCTCTGAAGAAATTTCCGAGTCAAGCAACCAATCACTCTCGGGTGCCGCTGAATATGCATGCATTGCGTTCCCTCAAGTGTTCTTATCTCTCACACCTACATCCGCACCCGGCGTTTGATGGTACGTTGCATCTCATTTCTAACGGCTAGGAGATGTCGAGTAGCTAGAGGTTGCACATCGTTTTCTCATCCCTTCAAATTTTAACCGTCAATTTATCGCCTTTCCTGACAGACAAACCTGCCTCTTTTCAATGTACTAGTCTCTGAAATAGAGCATCAGGATGGAAAGCCAGGCCCATTTTCACACTACTATAACTTCGTCTCCGGTCTGCCTTTTGAACCCCTCTTTTAACCCGTATCTTTCACGAGCGAACTTAGCCACTTACTGTATTGTCCAACGTCCCTTGATCTTTTCGAACAAAGTCGGAAGGCAGCTAGACCCACCTTCTGTTTCTGGTTAGCCTTAACCCCGTCCTTAGCCCGTCTCTTCACAGGCCGACTGTTCCGATTTGCCTTGACCCCGTTCTTAACCCGTCCCTTCGCCGGCGGGCTTCACGTCATACTCAAGGGTGCAATCGTCAAGTACCCTGTTAACTGGTTGAAGAGCTAAGACCCACTGGCACCTTTGGTTTGCCTTAACTTCGTTCTTAACCGGTCTCTCGCGCAGGCCAATTTCGCGTCCTATCTAACCGTCCAATCCTTCAAGTACCCGGTTAACAGTATCGAAGAGCTGGCCGCGCGCAATAAGCTGAATTACGTCATCAGCGGCGGGGGGGCGACCGAAAGCTACTTTCAAAACAGCGTCGATCCCACCATTCGTGCACTGCGGTCACGGTTACGGGTGAGAATCATTAATTGCAGGGGTTAAGCTTTGGTTAGGCGAAATATACGCGGGATCGACTTCTTACAGCGAGTATGCTCCAAATGGTATACAAGGGTGAAAGTCATTTGTGACAGGGACTACGTTTTGATTAATGTTTTACGATTGAGACTTCAGTCTCAGAAATCTTAAAGGCTCTGTAAATGCATCCGCTGAGACGCACCAGTGTTGCTAGGTGCCCTACTCCGCAGCTTCCCTTTTTGCGCTCTCCCACACAGCGTCGATCTAGCAATTCTCACGCAATTCGGATACATTGTTTGCGGCCGAGACCGAATGTGGAGTCATTCAGGTGGCATGCCTCCGTCCTGTGAAGACAGTCTCTAAACTGCAAGTTTGTTCACGTTGTAAGGGAGATTCGTCAGGGAAATCAGGGTCAGAGAGGGCGTTTCGTGAGGAAGTGTATGAGCACGCTGCCAAACGAGAGTGCTTTTTGCGCAATCATACCTCAATATGACACTCGCCGTGTTGCGCTTTCCCTGGGCATAGCGGGCTGCTTTTCCATCGCATCGTGGGAATCAAGTCTGCTGGTACTGCACACGTGTTATCTGCTGCGCAGAATGAAGAGAAGTTGCTCTTTAACGTCATTGATGAACTGTGCGCCTTCTGGTTGTGCAATCTGTGCTTTGCCTCCACAACAGCAGATTTTCCAGATTTTCCTGTGTTGCCGTCCGGTTGAATTCGCACCAACGAGCATGATAACAGAGACAATGTTGCAGGAGAGGCGCGTCACTTGACTCGAAATCTCGAAAGACGCACTCCCCCTTGGCTCAATTACCCCAATTGCGTAAGTCTTTCTCAACTGCAGACGGTCATTGGGAACATCGACGGCGTTCAGGCAGTGCGCGACGGAAAGTACACCGCTTATCTCGCAGAGACGCCGACCCTTCAATACTTCTCGGGACAGGATCCGTGCGATTTGCAGGTTAGTGACCGGTTTAACAAATTCCGCGGGGACCCATCTACTCAGGAAGGGTTTTGGCTGCTAACCAGGTCTGGTCGTTGGGCATTAGGCTAACTTCCAGCCGATAATCGGCGGTGATGCACCGCCATGTGACGTATGCGCTTAGGGCAGCTTCCGGACGCTAGGGGGCGCTGCCGGACCGTACTAAATATTGAGGGCGTTTGGGAAAACGGTTCTTCTCGCGCGCTTTCTCGTTTACGGCGCTGGAATCAAAACACAGGCAAGTGTTCGGAAGAATGGTTCGTACACGCAAGCTCCACACCCTCATCCAATAGAAGCTTAGATCCGCAAACGGAATGTATACCACTTCGGACGCTCCCCAGGTGGTGGGCGCGCCATTCGGACCGTCCTTTTACACTCTGGTGTCCGAAAGAACGGTCCGTTCAAGCGAGCTCCTAAAAATACTCTAGTCCTCAAGTCCCGAAACCAGAAACCTTTGACCCGAAAGTCCGAACCTTGAAACCTCAAACATCACTTTCGGACGCTATTTAGAAGGTTGGTACGCCGTTCGGCCCGTCCGTCCCGTCCGTTGACACCCCAAGGTTCCGAAAGAACCACCTTCACATAACTATTTGCATCAGATTCCGTTTATTCTTAGGATTTGAGGATCAAGTCACTATCTCTCAATGAATCCTTCGCTAAGAGATCGAAAACCGTAAGAGCGGATTCTTGTCTCGGACTTTTGCAGGTGGTCGGTGCGCCCTTCGACTCGTTCCTTTCAGATTTGTGACATTCGAAAGAACGATCCGTACAAGTCAACTCTCAACCAATCCATTACCCTAAGATCTGAAGGCCCTAGAAGCCAAAACCCAATTTCGGACGCTTCCTAGGTGGTCGGCACGCCTTTCGGACCGTCCCTGTCACTTTGGGCGTCCAAAAGAGTGGTCTGGACACGCAATGTCTTAACCCCAAACCTTAACCCTAGATTGTAAAGACTCTAGAATCCACTTTTGGACGGTTCAGGTGGTCGGCGTGCCGTTCGGACCGTCCGTTTACACCTTGGACGGTCCGCATATGCAAGCTGTCTACCCTAAATCGTCAAAATGCCCTTACAATTTAGTTTGGAAATACCAAAACCCTTCAAACATTTGAACCCCAAAACTTATAGCCCCGCTTTCGGACGCTTCCCAGGTGGTCGGCTCGCCCTTTGGACCGTCCGTGTACACCTTGGGCTTCCGCAAGAATGGTCCGTACACGCGCGCGATCAACCGGGCGATGCTGCAGCTGAAGCAGAATGGGCTGTTGGACGAGCTTAGAAAGAAGTGGGTCGACGACCAGAACGTGTGCTCAGCGGAAAACTCGGTAGGCTTCCCTCCCCTTGTATTTGTCTAACGATCTTCGTATTTCTCCTTGAGCTCGTGATTACAGTCATAAGAAAGACTTTGGTCGACGACCGAAACGCGTGCACAGCGGAAAACCCGGTAAGTTTGCTCCCAATCTAAACTCATTGTGGTCATTCACAGCACTTCAGACTTTCTTTCCCGACTCTTTCGATGGCCCCGAACGTGTGCATAATGAAAAGCTCGGCAGGTGTCCCTCCCTGGTCTTGGCTTGATTTGTCTCTTTGTGATCGTCACTTTCGTGAAACTCGTCTGATCCCATTTTTCAGAAGCAGTGGCTCGATGACCACAGACCTGTTTGCTGCGAAATCTCGATGGGCTTCCCGCCACTAGTTTCGACGTCTCGTGGCCCCTCGCTGTCGTCGTTTTTGTCCAACTCTCTGTCTGACCGTGTCACAAGAATAAGATGCACTTCTAATCAAAAGCGTGTACTGCGGATATACTGGTAACTTTCCTCTCATATGCATGTCATTGTGTTCTCTTCGTGCTTGGCCTTCACATTCAAAGAACGAAGTGCTTCTGATTCTTTTCCTCGGAATGAGTTGGTTGACGGCCAAGATGTGTGCAGCTAAGGACTCGTTGGGCTATTCTATCTCCTTGTTTGCAATTCCGAACTCTGATGTTTCCTTCCGTCTGCGGGCCTCCGATCTTTGATTGTGGGTGATACGCCGGAACTCCCTGCTCAAAACCCGGGTTCGACTTCTGAAGCCCGTCGCTTACAGCGCGTGACGTCATGGAACAAAGGCATATGCTTCTTTCTGGACTGTTCAAAACTTCTATTCGAACAGATGACTAATACACAACGAGAACATTCCTGATGCACCAAGGGACGTTTCGCAATTTCGCAATCGGGTCAATTCAGCATCACGGCGCATTGAACGTTTGGCAATTGTCAACGGAAGCGGAACGGACACGGAGACGGACACAATCGAAGAGGCACCGTGAATCCTTATATACGCAAGTCGCTAGCTTAACAGAACTCTCTGCTGACGTCACTTCTTGAGCGATGAGGTTCCTGGTTTTGGAGACACATCGTCCCCTTGGAGACTAACTCACTTACGCCCTGTTTAAAACAGAATTTTGGAACGCTTGTATCGTGCATATTGAATCCCCATTCCCTTTTGCAGTTAACGAACACCTCGTTGCGCGTCAAAGACTTCAGCGGGCTATGGTACCTCCTCGTCGGCGTGCTCGCTTTTGGCTTCGTATGGGCGATCGGCGAACGGATTCTGGTGAAGACTCTTGCCGCCAACCCCGCTCTCCGAGAAAGGTTCATCCGTACGACCCACAACGTAAGTAGGGCGGGAAAGCGGCTCGACCTCTTTTCCCGGATGTCGTCGAGGCAATCGGGGGGATCCCCCGAGGACACCGCGGTTACCGAAAACCAGGCCTTCGAACCCGGGAAGGAGGGGGCCCGGCTTGAGAAAAGCGGGTCCGAGAGGAACCGGGCGTTTGACGTGTTTGACGTGCCGGAAATTGACGAGGAGTCGGGGAACGGAGTTGATAAGCAGGAGTTTGACCCGAACAAGGAAGGGTTGGTGTTGCTTTAGAGACTCTAGTGTCTGGAATCCCGTTTCAGCGCTGCATTTGATACTTTGACAGGTTAGTAAGTTTATAAATCTTTGCACCTTGCTGGAAAGCCAGCCCGCGAAATCTCAGCAGGACAGTTCGCGACTCCGCCAATCTTGGCCCCGAAACGACGTGACGAAAGCTTCTAAAACAACTCTTAAGTAACTAGTAGTTGTTGGTGAAGGTTTAGCAAGAAATAATTAGCATACATATCTTGCCGCGGCTGTGGTCCTAACCTTCCAGATTTAAGGTAGAACGTGGACTCCATCATTAGAGCAGGCAAGGAACTGTCGCAATCAGCTCAAAATTAGCGTAAAGTTTGGGGAAAGCGCTTCCAAGCACGATCCCAGTAGATACAAGATTTTTGAACCCATTAATTACTGATTCAAAAACAAGCCATTGATGTAACAATATGGATGATGCAAAAGATCTTACCAGAGACTTGCGACGGACTACGGTGATCGACTTCATTTGTAAAAAAGACTCTAATTACGAGCTTAAGAATACTTATGAAAGCTACGCAAGTCAATGGATATACAACTGAGTTGTATATCCATTCAGAATTAGTCGTCTTTAGGACACCCTCTGGTCTACATAAGTCTAGCTTGCAGATAACATTTCAATTCGAAGTTTAGAACAATCTGTACGGTACATGCATGCAGAGCAGGTCGCGCTTTCAATGCGATACTAACCTGCAGTCGATCGACGCCCTGACCAGATAATTAGCCAAGATTTCTAAGACGTACATCTTTGAAGCGTCCATCATATCAAAATCTGGCAAGATGTTGGACTCAACCACTGTCACTATCAGGCTTGGAACGTACGGATGCTCACAGTTTTCTGCAGACCGTCCGTTCGAATCTTTCATTGCAAAGCCGCGCATGGCCCATGCCGGTCGGACGTTTCATTGAGCAGCTCAACAAAGAATGTGGACAGTGGCGGCTGGCCTGTAATTAAAGAAGTGGGCGTGCACGGCTGCCGGTAGGTAAGATCGCCAATCATTGACGGTACTTAATAAACGGCCGGTGACGTCGCGCTGCCGCTCCAATAAGAGGGTTCGACGTATGGGCAACCCCACAAATTCTGGAGATTTTATCGGATCTACACGTCAGGCCCAGCCGTCCACCGGGCTAGATTTGTAAGAGCTGTTTGCTGCTTATAAAGTCTCCAAAATAGGAGCCGGGGCAAGCCCCCGGGTGCGCGTACCAGCCAGGCTGATGCATTACCGGTGCCACGTGGTGGCACAATTGATATCTTCGTTACTACCGGTATGATCTTTGAGTTGCCCGGGTACTTTATCAACCAAAGGAGATAACTCAGAAAAAATACCTACTCGGTGACAAGTCAACTTGTGCCGCCCCCAAGCGCACCCTAACCCACTGAACAGTCGGCTAACCCCACACATCTTCCGGGCGGCTATCTAGGTCGATCACAGCATCACACTACAAAGTGCACAGCAGATGTTGTTAGGGGCCTCGGCTAGGAAATCAACCTGCAATGATGATCAGAATCGCAGGATGGTGTCCACTCCCTCTGAATCTGAGACTCTGAGTCTCAGTCCACTCCTCCAGAGTTCTCATGATAAAGCCAATACTGACAGATCTGACATGTGCGGCTTCCTGCCAAAGCTTGGGTCCTCCACGTCTAGCAGCATTGTGAATTTTGTGATAGGAGTCAACAACCAGGCATCAGCTTATCGGGAGCTGCTGCTAGTTTTCAGACACAAGTGGACGCAAGCGACGCACCAAGAGTGCAGAAGGGCTGAGACGAAGGGGTCGGAGCTAATGATAGCACAGGTCAGGAGCATTAATATAGATTGCTAATCACAGCGTGTGAAAACCTAGTTTTGATCAGTGTGAGCTTTGTGCGGATTTTGCTCAGTGGTCAGCTAGCTGCTTGCTTCTCTGCAGCTGAAGAAAGCAGGACATGCGCATCGAAGCCTGAAGATCGAGGAAGAGAGGGCAAGCATCAAAAGAAGGGAGACTGCAGATGTTAGCCGCGGAAGCTGTGAGCAGCGCAGAGAAACCCTGCGATTCTTCCGTTTACAGCTGCAGTTTGTGTAGGTCAACAAACGTACCTGGTTCTAGACTCTATTAGCGGTTGTCAGAGAGTTCATAAGCTATTCTGGAAGATTTGTGAGCTTTGCTTAGGTTCACAAACCCCACCACCCCTCTGTCGTCCTCAAAAGCCGGGCACATTTTCTTCTGCTCAACCAACTTTTTTCCAAGGCGTTCTTTCAATGTCATTTGTATCAACGACACCTCGAGAACATTGGTCAAGCTGCTACAGGTCAAGAATGTGAAAAGAGATGCCAAGTGAAGTCTAGTTCCTAGTGAATAATTCAACAGGTAAGTTGTGACGATTCAACGGTGCGTTTTGCAATTCTTGTGCAAGAATATGATGCTTGTTTAAGGATTGCTAAAGTGTGCATCTAATCTTTGCAAGTGCCGTTTAGTTGACCAAACCAGAATCATAGTCATAATCAGTCTGGCTTCGGTTATGGCTCACGCAGTGGACTTGAAGATGTGTGGGCCCTGCATGCTTTTATCGACCTCATTCAAGAGCCTCTGGTCAAAAGGATGATTGGACAGCTTCCTGCAACACGATCTTTAAACCGTTCTTGAGCGGCCTTCCGCAAATGAGAATCTGGGATCAATGGCAGACATCAGAGCTCAACGGGTCTTAGCAACGTGTCAATCACAGCAATTATTTGCTCAAAGCAAGAATAAGTCAGATAGTATCCTGTATAAGTTAGATAGTATCCTCTACAATACAGGGAAGCAAGTTGGCGGCGCCACTAGGCTGACACTCCAACCCTGATCTACGATTGGCTTGCAATTGTAATTTGTCAGTGCCAATCTGACTGAGGCCCAATTGGCTCACAAGTTCTTCTGGCCACCTGCTGTATTGCAATCAAACCAAATGACCCAAGTTAGCAGCCCCAAACAACACCAATAATGCGTAGCCCAAATCCAGCCAACATTTCAGCTGAGGCGTCTAAGCCACTCAATCAGGAGTTCTAAATTATTTCTTGCAAGGTTTGCTGCTGAAATATCAAAACCTTTTGGCAGCCCCAAATTCTGTCATCCTTGTTGCTAACTTAGCCAACCTAACCCGAATTGACAATTCAAAACCTTTGCTGAAGTTCGAATCAAGGCACCCTAAACATCATCTGAACATCCGCAGGCACAAACTAACCCATTGTGGCAGCCCCAAGTACCACGCTTATGGCTAACCTGGCCAGCTTAACCCAGATAAACGTGGTAGTAGCGGAGCGGCCCCCTTATGCATATCCCAACGCTTCGGACCCTTATGGCTGGTCGGGGATGCTGGTCTCTCTGATTCCGGTGCTGTTTCAAGCGGCGGGAATCAATGCATCGCTCAACTTTTACGAGTCGCCAGACAACGGGGGAGGGACACTAAAGAATGGCACGTGGAACGGTGAGTGGTCCTCAGATTGTAAGATTTTCGGACAATTGTGGTTCGAGATTTCTGAGTATGCGGGCCAATGCGGGAAACGTCGGAGAAAGTGTTGAGTCATCCCTTGACACCTTGAAGACTTATGTTGAGGTTGGGAACAGCTTTCAGAGCTCGGTGAGGAAATTGGTTAAGATGCCCACTTCTCTAGGAAGCAACAACCTGCAGCCACTGGATTTCACAACGGTCCAAAGGAGAACCAGCTAGAATCCTAGCCCAGCATCTGAAACTTCTGGTTAAGCCCGTAATCTTGTGCCATCTTTTAATGAAACCAAGGTCTGTGCAGTGCTTACTTAGACACACGTACGCCCCTGCATTGCGATAGCTCATACTGCGAAACCGATCGAATGCCGTAATGCATGGCTGAGCACAGGTCATCTGGGCGACGTTGATTGAAGCCACGTGTCACCATGTTGCGGCGCCAGGTGTCACCGGAGAGCTCATTGCCAAGCGCGCAGACATTGCCGCTTTCCCTCTCGTACAATCACCGGGCCGTCCCGACTACATCGACATGTCGTACTCGTACAACGAAGCGGGGCTAGGGATTCTGGTGAAGAAACAGGTAAGGGGTCATTCTTGATCTGCTGGTGCATTTATTGCCTCAACCCGTCAATGGCAGAACACATAGGCTGTCCGTTTGGAACCGCCCTTTGCGGAGCCCTTTGGAGTGGATTCCAGACAAGCCCCGAAGTTTTGCTGACCTCTTCTCCGCCGATTAGTCGAGTTGTTTCGTAATGGATGGCGTGATGGAATTTGCGCAGGTCGTCACATCACCTGGCGGAGTAATTCTCGTCCTCGTAAAGTTCTCAATTCGCTATATTGCACGTTTATGTTGCTCGCCTCCATTCTGCTTCGATTCCTCGCTGCAATATTGCAAACGGCAAAGCAGAATACGGAGTTAGAGTTCAACGGGTGGAGCCGCTTTGAGTTTCGAGACGTCAACGTTAAGAACTTGGATCAAAGCACCTCAGGTGACATGACCTGACTTATCTGCTCACCACGAGCGCTGCATTTCACGTTCCGGGCAATGACTCTTCCCTTAAGCCCCTGTTAAGCCGCTCGGTAAAGGACCCGAAACCTTCCACGTGCAGAAAAGGAGACAGCCTTTTCAGGTGACCAAAGTAGATTGGCCAACTTAAGTGACCAACTTTGCATCGAGTGACCAACTTGAGTGATTCTACGTAGACCAACTTCGACTCATTGAAGTTACTTTCCAACGTTCTCAATGTCATTTGCAGATCTCTAGCAGCAGCGGCACTACGCTTTATCTGAAGCCCTTCACCTCCGATCTGTGGGCCGTTCTTATATGCACAGTCTTGGGGATGGGCTTCGCTCTGTATCTCCTATCCCTGGTCTCGCCGCTCGGGGGATACGCTATCAAGCGCATGCGTAACGTGACGGCTGGTACGGAGGAGCAGCGTTACGTTATCGAAGACAGTAAGACCGCCCACCCTTCGCTCGTGATTCTTCGTTCTGTTATCCGGCCGTTCGATCGTTTTTCAGATCGAGCTCCCGCACCTTGGTATTCTGTTGACGTTTGCTTGCTCACGTCGGGCTCGAACAAGAGTGATGGCAATCTTCTTCGCTTTTGAGCTCTTAGCTTGTGGATGCCTCTGGAACCTTCCAGTTGGAAGTCCTCTCCGCACGATTTGGGATTGGTAATCTCGCTTCCTTTTTGTAAACCCTCTCCGATACTCTTCTCTTGATTCAGAACGCTGGTCTTTGTGTGCAGTGTTGGACTCTTTCCTCATTGACGTCCTCATGGTAAGTCTTTCAGAAACCTAAAGCAGAGGAGCCTAGATTAAGCGCCCAAAGGCCCGAACTTAAAAGATCGGCTGGTAGCTGATGAAGTAATCTATTGCTCTTAGTTCATGAGGCCTTCCACATTATCGGCATGCGGATCTAACAGTCCGGCAAAGGAAGTTTGCTTCATCCAGAAACTGTGCCCAACTCTTTCCACTTTGTGCAAGTCCTGCCGCCTTTTCTGAGCTGGCACTGCTTTGCACCTTCCCTCCCAAGGAGAGACTCTATCTACTTTAGATTACGTCACGGTGGTGGAAAGCCTGTGTCGCCTGCCCTACACCATACGCTCATAGTTAATCCCTGACAATGCGCGTCAAATCCGGAATCAGTCACCACTTATCATTGGTATCAGAGCGTTGAGAGCTGTGGAAATTGTAACTTGTAACGGCGGGCTCTTTCAGAATGTACTCGTGGTGGCCCTTGACTATGCGTCGGAAGGAAGTAGACATAATTACCTCATTCGTTGCAAGTAAACAGTCGAGTGCTTCGCTCACCGTGGCTCCTCTCTTGTGCGTGCAGGCCGCTGTGAACAACGCCTGGGAGCCACGTGGCAAGTCCTGGTCCATTCGATTGCCGTTCGTTGCCTACATCTTCTTCATGCTCATCATCATCTCTAGTTACACCGTAAGTCTTACTGATTCCCTGCGGAAACTCTTCGGAGTCGTGTTGTTCTTGACAATGAAACTCAGCTATCTTTTCTTCCTTGTTCATTCAACTCGCAATCCAGTCATTAGAGTAGACGAAGCCTCTCGCCTTGAGAACAGCCGATCCTACGTCCAGAGATGACATATCGCCTGCCCCTACCCTCGTTGGCGGCAGCGGTCATGCTACCTGAAGGGGTCTGAAACCGCCGCTTAACCGGTGCCGAACCCTCTTTGCTCCAGGCCGACTCCGCCTCGGAATGTGACGGTTAAAACTCACGTTTTGGAGATTGAACTCAGCACCGCTTCCATTCTTGATTCGAAACCGGCGCTTGACCCCCTTCCTTGCCCCCTTTTCTCACAGGCCAACTTCGCTTCCTACCTGACCGTTAACCAGTTCAGCACCGTGGTTAGCAGCCTCCAGGACCTCAAGAAGGGCGGCCTCAATTTCACGATCAACGCGGGGGGGGCGACGTACACCTACTTCACTCAGAGCCTGGCCCCCACGATCCTGACGCTCCAACCCAAGCTCTCCGTAAGTTTCAAGTCTGAGTTTCATTTTGAGTCTTGATTGGACTTCGGCTTTTGAATGAGTTTGCATCTGGGGTTGTCGTTCGGGTTTGTCGTTCGGGTTTGGGTTTACCCCTCTGAGGCCGTCGATGTCTGAGATCCTGAAGCTCTTATCCAATCCTCCGTTAGTTTGGAGTTGTCTGAAGTTAGCTGATACTTGTGACGTCACTCAATGCGTCGGCGTGCTCAAGTAACGTACAAAGATTTACTTCTCCCCAGAAATCTGCCACTGGCCATGTTTGGGTTTCTCAAGGATGCCGTCAACGCTTTAGAAGTTGCAGAATCTTGATGCAGTCCGACGAGATGCTGCTCCTCCTTACAAAGTGCCTGATAATCCTGGCCTTTGCTTTTTTATTCCTGATTTCATGCCCGATCGGGTGCGATAGGATCTCGAGTTGCGGCCGGTCAATGGAAGCTTCGTTATCACAGCTATCAAAGCGGAAGACTTTGCTGACTATACTTGCTGAAGGGTTAGGGTTGCTCTTGCCAACCCAGTTTTAACTGGCAAGTTATCAACCCAAAATCAAGGTGTTCACCAGCCAACTTAACCTGTGTTGCTGGGAAACGCGTTGGGGTTCAAGTTGCTCTTGTCTCAAGCTGTTAGAAATTGTGGTTCTAACCCGCTGTGTTTCTTCCGTCGATACGACCGCTTTTAAAGCATTCCCCGCCGCTTGTAAGTCCTCACAGGGAAGATCCATTCGAGCCCCAAACACACTCCTGTCGCTTCAAATGTTTTGATCAAGCTGATATCTGACGACTCCACGTTTTCCTGGGCACTGGCCAGATCAACCACGTGCAGAATCACTCAGGAATTTGTCGCCGTCAACCCGTCACAAACTTGTAGCTTGACGTCAATTCGCTGACCCGCTTCTTTTCATCTCTTCTCTCAAAAATCAACAACCCCATTCGGACAGGACTGCCCTTGCGGCGTCAGCGCTAACGTCACCTATCGCGTCTTGCCTCGGAATTTCGAAGCCATTTTCCCTGGGCCTGGCTTCCGTTGGTTTCGGTGCCGCTTCCGCTCACATTGCGGAAACGCCGATTCTGCTTCCGAGCTGCGACGTCAGCGCTGACGTCATCTTTCCTCTTTCACGCAGACCGTCGACGCCACCTTTCCGGGCCTGGATTCCGTCCGTTCCGGTGCCGCTTCCGCTTACATCGGCGAGTCCCCGACGCTGCGTTACTTCGCGGGAATGGAGCCTTGCGACCTGGCCGTTGTGGGGCAGCCTTTTGGCCCGTCGGTCTATACCCTCGGCCTGCAGGTACATACCGTTCCGTTCCGCAGTTTCGTTCCGCTCTGATCCTAGAGTACTTCGCCAGAGGGGATCCGTGCGACCTGGCCGTCGCAGTTCTAGGGGCCCTCGTTTCGCGTCTTGTTCCGCTTCAGATTCGTACGAGCTTGATTTGAAAAGGTCCTGATGCCAGAGGCTGAAAATTGCTACGGCGGCACAGAGAATGATGCGTTTCGACAAAAGGCTTGGCCGACCCATCAAAACTTGTTCAGAGCAATTGGCGAAACTCAAGGCGTTCATTCTCTGGACTGGTATGTCTGACGGCCCAGACTCTGCACCTTGTCGTGGCTCCAGGTTGTAATTGCCAATTTGCTAGCTTTGACTGCACCTCTTGTGGGAAGAACAAGTGGTTTGAGCTGGTGAACGAGGAGGGGCTATGACCGAATCGTGCGTGGTCAGAAAGTCAGCAGCATTTGACTCCCCATAGATAGATATTCGCAGCATTTCGCTTTCGGCTTCTTGGACATGTGAGAGGGCAGATTGGCGATTTAGTACGCTAGCCGTTCGAGGCGTCCCTTTCTTTGCGATAAATCTGTCCTCAAGCGGTCATCACGTCATGCCCACGTCATCCTTTCTGCAGTTCAACTCTCCTTACACGCCACGAATCAATGAGGCCATGCTGACACTCAAGGGGAACGGCTATTTGGACCGACTCCAAAGGATATGGATCCAGGACGCCAACGTATGTGGTGGCAACTCTGCAAGCGTAAGTTCCGCAGCTCTTGGGCTCCGGTACGAACCTAAAGCTCTGAGTCGGGGCACAGATTCATCGTCTTGACTGACTGCATGAAATCTTCGTATTAAGCCCACCGCTCCGTAGCTGCTGTCACTTCGATGGTGTTCCGATGTACTCAGCAGAGTCCCTCCTCAGGTCGTGTTTATTGTGTTAGCGTAGGCACTTACACTCCTGATAAGCGGACGAACTTCAGATTCTGACTGCATCAGTTCTCGATACCCGTTGCACAATTCATCCGTTGTAATCTTCGAGTCCTTCGAAGGCTGTTCAACGAAACTTCGCACGTCTGCCCTTCGCTCTCTACTTCAACCAACCCCAGAATTTGGCGTCTTAACCCGGATTCTTAGAAACTGTTTCGCTCGGGTTCTGCGATCCTCACCCACCGTTCGACTCTTCGCCATTCTCCGCAGGACACGATCGGGGCGCTGAGCATCAGCGACTTCTCCGGCCTGTGGTACCTCTTGCTGGTCGCCATCGCGTTCGGTTTTGTCTGGGCGGGGCTCGAGCGGTACGTACTTTTCCTCCTCACCCGGTACCCTTCACTTAGGGACCGGTTGGCCGCGTGGAAGGCGGCCGCGGCGCGCCACGGAAAGAACTTCGAAATGACCCGGGTGTTCTCGCACGTGTTTTCCCGGTCGGTATCCATACTCGTACGGAGTAAGTCCGAGATCGCGGCCGCGACGCCGACGGGGCGCGCGCGCGCGCCTGCGAGCGCCGAGGAGGAGAGGTCGACGGAAAGGGCGGCGCGGCTTGCGGTGGAGAATTACGATCGGGAAAAGGCGGAGCGCGCCGCACAGAAAGTAGGGCGGTTGTGGTAATCCTAGAACTTAGGTTGCAGGAAGGTCAATAAAAGGTTTTCGTGATTCAGGAAGGTTCAAAGGGTTGGAGTTTTAAGGGGACTAAAAAGGACGGCGAGGGCTGCCGGCTGGCGGTCTCGATAGATTCCTCATTGCTCGCAGGTAATCAGCGTCAGATATAGCAAGAGTCTGGCCGTATATATTTCGGCATAATGGTGGGAGGTTTGGTTCGTGACGAGTCGGATTAACCTTCTCGATCCGGGCCTTCCTTACTTCGGTTGAAGGGCATTGGAATGGGCTCTCTGTCCCCGCGACGGTAGTCCGAAACGTCCTGATGGTGTTGACCCAATTAGTCAGTAAAATGTGTCAGTAGACTTTGTCAATTACTGACTTTACTAGTCAAACATATAGCGTGCAGAATGGGGGCTTCTCCTACGGTCGAGGTTGGGTAGAGTGCTCGGAAGCCAATGCCCGCACGGTGCGAAGGTCGTCAAACCGGTATCAGACAAAAGGAACCTACAAATCTGCGTTTCAAGTTCATTTCATAATTCGGTGTCGTCATAAAGGATTGATATCGATTTGGCTACCACCTTGGACATTAGTATGCCAATCAAGTCCCCTTGAAATTGTATATTAGCGGTCAGCCTGTCTTGCATCCATTGCCTAACGACCAATTCATTTTCGTACTAAGTTTGATGGACGCTTTAGGTGATGATCGTGCAGTGTTCGAATTTAATGGTTATGTACAGCATTGAATTGGCTGGCTAACCGTGTTGTTTTCATTGTGCCCCATGCAGCCGGACGACGTGTAGACTCCGATTATTAGGATAAGTGTTGGATTCTTTCAGTAAACTACCCAAGCGTGCATGACATGGCACGCATGGTGTCGTTTGATCGAACCCTCATTGAACGTCCGAGGGCGCAAACGGGTGCATGAGCATGCATGGTTTTTAGATCGGATAATGAACTTCTACCCCTGGCGCGGCGGCCAAGGTTTAGTGTATGGCTTCGTTGGTACCCCAATAATCCGCGGGCGGCCGTGCAGCAAGCAGCCGCCAAGCTTTTAGTGCCGCGCATGAGCTGAGCTTACCGTACAGTGATCGATTCGAACGACTGTCGGCCGGCACGCAACCGGTATACATCATATGTGGTGGTTTAGTAGTCGGCTTGCAGTAAACCGTCAGTGCACACGTTGTTGATTGATAGTAAAGTCGATGCCACTGAGAGGGCCGCAGGTGGACAGTGCGCGATCGAAATGATGACCGTTTCGTTGTAGACCCAAAAGCCATTATAGCCAAGTCGTAGAAACCGCTTAGGAAAACCTGTTATGCTTTAGATCATAAAGCCGTGTCCACGCCGGTCATGCACAGTACGTTCCTAATTGCTGATGCAAACTATATGCTAGCTCAGCTAGTTAAGTACATTAAGAGTCTTGGTCCGATCATGTCACTGGGCCAGATTCAATATGTCGGGCGGTCTGCATAAAGTAGAGGCCGTCTTTCGACTACTTTTTAAACATGCAAGTCGAAATAATCAAATTTTTGGCCGCCCTGATGGCGAATATGATGAAAATATAAGTATATATATACGGTATGGTAACAAATCGACACGATTTAAATTGACGCCCTTAACCGGCCGGCGCTGCAATGATGGCCACATGGTGACCGCCGCGCAAATCCGGCTTTCAATCTAAGTTCAACTATAACTGCAAGCCTTCCATCGAGATGCAACTTCAGGTTTCCAACGTTCGCTACATGTACGGTCTTTAGCAAGCACTGCAGTAACACGCAACATGGTATTCAGGGCCACTAGTTGTGGCGCTACGTAGAATATAACAATCAATTGATTGCAATGCGGTGGGTTGACGCTACTTAGATGTTCGTACTTCTTGAGGATCGATCGCATGTGCCAATCTGTCGGTTGGCCCTTCAGACTCTGTCACGGCTAGTTCTTGAGAACGCACTTGAAGCTCAAGGTGTTTGAGAAGCAGCTCCGAGCTGGTCATTGCAACTATCATAGCGAGCCACAGTCCTGGAGTGCCACTGTCTCGATATGTACTGTCAGTGAGGAAATGGACAAACGCTATTGCGGGCCGTGATAGGATACTGGCGTACCTGCATGCAGCCAAAGGCACACGTTTCAATGGCTGGTGACTGCATTGGATCAGCGGTGAACAAATGGCTTGGTCCTGACCTCGGAATCTGCTCTTTGAGAGACCATACCAAAGACAAGTATATAGTTTCACAGTTGTCAACGGCTTTGCCTCTGGTTCGTTGTGCAACATTCGCTTCTCTGCTTCTATGAGAGCGTATTGAGGGATTACTAATATTGGTTCAAGCCAGAGATTTTGCAGATTCCTTCCAGATTGAATGGTAGTGTCCACTTCAAGGAGGAGCCGCTGTCAAAGCGGTACTTGGCGAGTTCTACTTGTTCGTAGAAACAAATCCTTCGAAGGAGAGTCAATTGTCGACCCGTTCCTGGATCTTCGCCGGGGTCTCTCGATCGCTTCATAACCCAGTCAGTAATATAGACAGACTCCCAATTGCTTGGAGGGGCTTGACCGGCAAAGGATCCTGAGCGGTTGATTAAATGACTTCTTGATTCAAATCAAGCGACCCTTACAACATGCCTCTCCTGAAATGGCGGAATCATCCGCAGACAAACGCAGCCCAGCGACTGGCGACATCGTGAGACATTATGGGAGGACATAAGAAACTGACAAGGGATTCCTTTGCTGGCATCTACTGCAGGGTCTCAATTGCTGATCCACACAGCCTAATCTGGACCGCCAGGGCGCCTTACAGATCCGTGATGCTCGTATGCTCTGAAGGCCTGCTTTGAGTTATATCGTTCTCTGCGATTTGTCGCAACGGACAAGTTAATTGGCGTTAAACCTCAAACAAGCAGGTACTCCGATCTAGGCCTACGCACTCACGGCCTCAACCGCAAGTTCCTTGACAGTTGAGTATATAAGGTGATGAATGCATGGTAACAACCTACCAAGTATCTCTTTGAACCCGAGCAAGGAAGAGGAATACGAGAGAGAAAGAGGAATGAAAAGGAAAGAGACGAAGAGAGATAGAGAAAGGTGGGATCGAGACTCACCCTGCAGCCATTGTCCTGACCACCCACTTCTCATGCGCCGTCACTAGCCTCCTCTTAATAGTCCAAAGCGCCATCCCCCCACAACCAAGCCACAGGACCGATAGCGCCAAACAAGGGGCTGCAAACCCAGGGAATTCTGACCGGGGGGCCATAACCAGCCCCGTGACAGACAGACAACCCCCGCACATCAGGAAGACGTAGCCCGAGACACGGTGGAGGGAAGCGTGGCGTCTGAGGGTTCCCGGAAAATTGAATTGCAGGAGGGTAGAGCAGATGTAGAGACTTGCGCATGATGCGTGCAGGCACCAGAGGGGGAAGTTGCTGAAGATGTGCTGGCCCGCATCGGAGGCTTTGTCCCAGGAACCTGACGATATTAAGATTGTAAGGCGATGGAAACAGATGCATCATCTTTCATGATCATCAGAAGCTCCCTAATACATTGCTTCAATCGGCAATCGAACCAGTGGCTTGACGAAGGGGCCACTTGAGGAGACTGCTCAAACTGGGGAGATGGCAGGCTGCAAGTTTCAGATAATTCACAGGTCGGAGGTCAATCCTTGCGTGCAACAGAACACTTGTTCTGGTGACTTGGATCAAAGAGCAAACAGAGCGCACATGACAAATTCAAGCAACAGACTTGCACGAGCCTCATCACAAGCGGCTCCAAGCGGCTCCGACGCTCTCTCTTCAGAGCGTCGGCTCCATCATATCTGCTCCAGTACACCACCACGAGCCATTTTTTTGGACTCCTTAAAGGATTCACTGCTTCGCATGTATCACTTGGCCAAGACAATACATTCAGCAGTCAGACCGATGAGTCTCAGTCCAGTGCAGATTAGACACAAAACCGGTGATGAGCAGTTGCTCAAAGACTGAAGACTGAAAGACTGCCTACAGAATGACACTTTGACTTCACATGAGGGATACCTCCAGCATCTTTTGGCTCACCTGGCGTTAGGGGCTGTATGAGGGGCTCATAGCCAGAAGCAAAAGCAAGGGCGTACAACAGGAAAGGCACCGAGGTGAATGTGACGAACTTTAGTGCCTTGCTACTCTGCCAATCTACATGAGTACTAATCCTGGTATCATTTTGTTTTGTTGCTGGAAGTCTTTGATGCAAGAATCTTGGTGTCGGAGGACTGGCGAGGTTGGGCCGTTGACTGTTGGTGAAGTACCAGCTAGCGTGCTTTAGAATCCGTGAGCTCCGCAGTTGGAATGATGGGGCACCAGTGCCGGCTAGTCCTTTGGCAGCTGAAGTTTGATGTATGAGGTTTTCACTGGATCTAGAAGAAGTTGGTGGTGGTTGGAAGATGCGTTTGAGGTTGTGAACAGGTTTAGAACTTAAGCAAAGGCGTCTATCTGTGCCGGTGCCCATGAAAGGGAGAGCCAGCCTATCAATCGCAGAGTTGGATTCCTCCAGCTTCCCTGACACTTCGACATCCTTGAGGATGCATTGTGGCTGGGCCCAGCTGGCCACACTTTGATGAATGTCCATTGTTTCAAAAACAGGAGCACTGAGACAGAAAGTGGCGAATCACAGGAACCAAATTGGTATATCTACTTATGGACTGAATAAGCTCCGCACTGAAGAACGTTCGAGTTGACGTGAAAGAAGCACAAGAATTCAAGACCGCCGACAGGGACGGGGGAGGCCTCCTTCAGATTCAATGATCAGGCCTTTCCCTGATCAGGCCATTCGTTGCAGTGGTTAGCAATGACCATTGCGACCATTCCTGAGGCTGTAGGCAGACAGGTGAGACTGTTCATGACAGAAAGTAAACGGCGCAGAATCACCATTCTTAAAGTGCGGCTGCACCATTTGCCTCTGACGTCCCTTCTGCTGCACCACTTTTTCCTTCGCTTTCAAGTTTCCTTTGCTCAGGCTGTGCCGCCACTTTCGCATGTTTGGCAGTTTGGGGACTCTGAAAGTTCCGCAGAGGCGACCAGGCTCGGGGAATCAAGGCTAATCTGTCGCCGTCCAACATTGTCCAAGTGTGAAGCTCAGCTGGCTGGCTTGCAAAGGTCGTGACATGCATTGCGTGTCTTTCCATGGAGCTTCGAGGACCGGGGCCATTCTGTGCGCAGTAGGACTCGGAGCTGGGGCCCAGGGCCACTCTCTTTTAGGGCTCATGGCGGACCTGGGCTTGGACAGCCAGGGTGATCGGTGGGGCATGGAGGAGGAGATTGACTACGGGGACGATCCATTTGAATTGCCAGAGACGCTATTGGCAGAGCAGCCGGCGGGTGAAGAAAAAACGCATCCTGCGGTAAAGGCCGCAGGCGGGCGGAATGTGCTTGCAGGAAGTAAGATTGATTTGAGTGGTAAAGGTGAGGTGCGATCGAGGAGGGATAGAGATCGGGGGGTGGATGATGGGAGGCGGGATAGAGAGAATGCTGGGCGAGAAGGAAGAAAAGAAGGGGAGAGGAAAGGGGGGGAGAGGAGGGAAGCGGAGCGACAGGAAGACGAGAGGAGGGAGGGCGAGAGGGAGAGGAGGCATCGGCATAAGCACAGGAGCAGACGAGAGGATCATGTTCCTCAAGGTGAGGTTTATGCTGATTTGGTACAAAGTTATGAATTTTGTGTGACTTTCGACCCTGTCATTTTTGTTGCACCTGCGCTGTTTTCGATTGGATTAAGGAGATTTGTGACTTGAGACCCGTCATTTCGTTTGCATTTTCACCTATTTGCAATCCTTACACTTCTCATTGCATTCTGAGTTATTGCAGTATCCCGAGTGTTGTACTTCGTATCGAATTGGGCAACTGTTTAGTGTTGGCTGCGTCAGTTACAATCTGTGATATGCAGCGTGTAGAATGTGTATGTCTATTGGTTGAGGTGCTGGAGCTTTGGCGGGAAAGTCGATTGGACTAGAGTTGAAGGAGGTCGCTGCATGAACCGCTTGATCAGCATATGAGATTGCGTACAAGTTTACCACCACTCGTCGCTTGTCTTTTTTATCTAGGTGCTGTGAGTGCATGCGTGTGAGCTGTCTTTACGAGGTGTTAGCATGTCTTTGTACTGCTTTTTCACAATGCATTGTCCCCTGCTCAAACTGTGCACTTGTGAAAGGCGACCTCGCACGATCAGAAGCTATCTCTGATGATCTTCAGGGGTTCCGTGTTGTGGACTTTTTGCTGTTAGCTGCACAAAACAACTTTGCTTGTTGAGGCAGGCATGCGGTACATTTGAATGTTTTTTTCAACAAAGGTGACGAGCAGTTGCTGTCAAATGCTAATGACCTGAGAGTGTCAGATTCTCACGACTTGTTGAAGCTCAGTGAGTCATGGCACTTTTCTTTTGGAGAACATGGACTGAAGAAGCATTGTTCATAAAAAGCACGGTGTGTTTCAATTTCCCATGTTTGACTTTCTTATTTTACCGGTAAGTGCTCAATCTGTGGGGTGGTCCGATTGTATCCACGCCTGTCATCTATGGACAGCGGACTCTCGCCAAGCTCGTTTCGGTTTCCTTGTGCATCTCTTACATCAGAAGTGTGCATAATTTGGCTCTGCTGAGTTGTCCACTTTATGCCTGCTTCTACTTGCAATGAGGCAGCTTTTAGGATTGGTTGGCTTGCATAAGGCTGCAGAGCAGCTCCAACTTTTTTTGCGGCGTCCCGTAAAGTGGTTTGTGACAGCATTGGTACTGCCTTTGAAGAGACAATGCTGGCGGAAAGGACTTCATCACTTCGGGTTTGTAGCCTACTAGTATTGCGCAGCTTCTAAACTCCCAGTATGTCGTTGAGCATCAAGATATGCATGCATTGCACGAAGTCGTGTCCCCTTTCGCAAGGGCCGTTTTGTGTGCCGTCAGGCTGGCATAATGGACCATTCTCAATAAGCCCCAAAGAATGCGGCACAGAGAAAGGTCGACGATTCTCCAGCGGGCAGTACACAGTGCTGCTGCAAAGTCCTGCATTTGGTTTCATTGCTGCCAGAAGCACTATTTGAGGTTTGTTGGAGCTAGGCATGCAAGAGCACACACAGATATTGTGTATCCCTTTTGTCTGAAAGACGCTTCAGGAAGGTTTGTATTCCCCTGGTCAATGTTGGTTCAGACCACTGTGCTCACTGTGACTTTCTGAGGGACGAAGGTTTCTCCAGCTTCTTCTTGTATTTGACCATACCATTGGTTTAAGGTCCATAACACCACCTAAGGAAAGTCAGCAGAGAGAGTGCGGTTGGGAAAGTGTTTACTTTTTTCAAATTTTGCACACGGTTGCCTAGAGCAATCTCCCACCACCATGGACTCAATTTGCACCCTCTTCCTCTGCCAGATGAGCCAGATCGCAGACCAAAGGCCGCTGAGCCCCGCTCGTTTCCGGAAGACGAAGCTCCCCGCAGCTCAAGAGAAGGCCACAGGAGCAGGCGCTCCCGGGACGATCCCTCAGGCGACGCTCCTGTGCTGGGGAGGCCAAATGAGAACTCGGTAGGTCTTCCCCGGGAGCGCGCCCTGTCCCCAAAGGAGAGAAAGGAGTCAGCTTTGGTCGAGTTGATGGACGAAGTTCGGGAAGAGAGAGAACGGAAGAACCGCAAGGAAGGGGACGTGAACGGGCGCGGCGCGCGGTGGGATCAGACCGCTGCAGACCGGGGGGGAGAAAGCAAACCGTATAAGGTGAGCAGAGAGATTACAGAAGATAGCAAAAAGGGTTATGATAGGGACGAGAGGGGAGGGAGTGCTCGCTATGGCAGGTATGAGGAGCGGGTTGGATTTGATGGGGGAAGGGAAGATGCGAGGAGAGGCGGTAGGTTGTCGCCTGGGGCGGACTATCACGAGAGGCGGGGTCGGATGAGCCCCGGGATGGGGCCGCGAGATGAGTTTAAGAGAGAGGATCGTGCGCGTATTCATAAGAGGCCAGAGGAGGATAAGGGATGGGAGGATGACAAGCGGTGGGAGGATAAGAGGGGTGGCGACTTCCGGAGGGAAGAGGGGCGGGGGCCGAAAGATGAAAGGCGGGTGAGGGGGGAAGACGAGGCCTGGCAAGGGAGGGGAAGGGACGAGAGGCGGCGCGGCCGGGGCGGCGAGAGAGAAGGGGATCGGGGGGAGTACGATGATAGAAGATGGGGCAATAAGGAGGACGACAAACTGGGGGGCCATAGGAGAGACGAAGGGAGAGGTTTTAGGGAGGATGAGGCAGGGTATCACAATGGAAAGGGGCGGCCTGACTTTCGGGGAGAGCACTTCCGTGGCAGGGGGCCGTTCAGGCAGGAGGAAGACCCCCCCCGAAGGGGCGCAGGGGACAGTCTGCGGAGCCCGGGGGGGGAAAGGTCCCCTCCTCGGCGAGAGTACAATGAGCCAGGCACAGATCGCGGGTTCGATCGAAAAGCGCCCCCCGAAGCGAAACGGCGGTCTGTTTCACCTCCACCAAAACGGAGAGCCAGAACCCCGACCTTGGAGGGTTCAATTGCTGGCGAGGGGGGGCGAAGGCAGGAAGGTCTTGAGCCCAGCCCCCGGTCGAGAAAAGTGCACAGAGAGGCGACTTTTGACAACGGGGTTCCAGCGGACGAGGTCCCCCCTCGGCGGAGCCGGAAACGGTCGCTCAGCCCCCCTCCCAAATCAAGAAGTGCGCGGGACGGGAGTGTCAGAGATGGGGACCGGCACCGTTCCGTGTCGCGCGACCACGCGAGCACCCGGGGCAACGTGGACGATTTCGAGTACGAGAGGGAGAGGCGGCGGGCGCGTCGGGGTGATACCGAGGAGCGCGAGTCCAAAGCGCCCCCCCGTTCTCCAATCGATGACCACAGGGGGCCCCGTTTCGAGCCTGGGAGAAGCCCAATCCGGCCCCCCATCCAGCTCCAGGGGGGTCCTCCAATTTTCCGGGAAGGACCCGAGGGTGGTTTGCACGAGAAGGGCCGGGGCAGGGGGGGCTTTATGGGTATGGACATGGGACCTCGCTGGCGGGGGGGTGAGTTCCCTCGCGGCAGGGGGGGCGGCTACCCCCCTTTCAGCCCCGGATTTGCACCCCCCCAATTCGGGGGCCCTCCGAGACCTTTCCCGAGGCCGGAGTTCGGTCCGGGGCCCTTGCCTTTCGTCCCAAGAGGCCAGTTTCCTGAGGGAGGTTTCGGTCGGGGGGGGTGGCGTGGACCCCCCCGCCACGAAATGGAGGGCGATTTGCTGCCGCCGCCAATGGGTGGTCTTCCTGGACCAGAATGGGAGCGGCGAGGGGGCCCTTGGGAACGGAACGAGCCTTGGGGGGGGGACCAGCCGAGGCGAGAGTTCCCCCCCCATTTCGAGATGGGGGCCGAGCGGAGAGAGGCGGAAGGGGAGGGGCGGCCTGCGAGGAAAGCGCCGGTTGCTGCCAAGGGGGGTGAGCGGAAGGCAGAGGAGAAGGTAGTCCCGGCCCCCCCGAAACGAGAGGGGCGGAAGGGGGGCACTGCAATGGCGGCGGTGAAAGCGATGGCGGGGGCATTGCAGGTTTCGAGGACGCTTGCTGGGGAGGCGCTCTTTGAGGAGTACAAGAAACTGCTGCCGCTGTCGGTGGCTATGAAGAAGGGGGCTACGATTGCAGAGAAGGTGCGAGGCTGGCTCTTAGATCTCTGTAGCTCTCGAGTATTTAAGCAGGTATTTAATGTATTTTATGCAGGTAATTCTGTGCTCTTAGACCGTCAAAAACTCCCATGTAAGAGTCGAGTACAAACTTTTCTGCTTTGACACTATGACAGCCCTGTTGTAAATTTCACAAGCGTGCTTAATCTGGACAGATCAGAAACGTTAAATCTCTCTTGTACGATTACAAGTAGGTTACAAGTAGACTGGAACATATGCGGACCAAAGTCAAGAGCAATTTCTCAAGGTGCTTTATGGTCTATAGCAAGGAGCTGTCACTGTTTCTAGCTTCAATGTAACTCAGCTCTACAAGCTTCGAGAAACGTCTGACGAACTTCACTTAACACCGCTTACCTTGAAGAAGAGCAGCATAGAGGCTGTTGGCCCAGGGTCACGCTCTGGTAGGGTTTGGTTCCAGGAGCCTGCTCTGCAGTTGTTTTCCAACTTTGGAAAGATGCTTTTATCCGGTCTTGTTTAGTTTTTGGTGCATAAAGGCTATGCCTTCTGAACCCAGACGAACGTGCATGATCTCAAATACAGACCCGAAGGCACACGCTGTGCATAATTCAAGAATACTGCACGTTGCACATCACCTCCGCTAATCCTCTTCGCACGATGTGACCTCTGAATGGGCCAACTTTCTTCTTCCGACTGCAATAATCGTCTCTGCGTTGGGCAAAAGCCGGTCTTCATGATCGTCACACTGGGAGTCATGTTTATGGTCCTTTCGATGCCAGAAACAGGCTTGAGGTCGTCTAGGCTCTTGCATACAGCGCAGCGGAAAACTGGAGCCGATCGATTTCTGCTTGAACGTTTGCGGCTTATCATGCTCCAGTTTCGCCGCAGATCCGCTAGTCTTCCCATACTTTTAAGCTGCCTCAAGTTTTAGACAAAATCGACACGTCCGAGACTGCAAGCCCGCTCCTCAATTCCACTTGATTTTCAGAAACTTTACTATGCAGCGAAATGATCTGTCAGAGGATGCGTTCTGGGTGATTCAGCCAAAGGCTGCCACTTACTGTAAAGAACTTCAAAGAGCCCGTTAGTCGGCAGAGCAAGATTCCAAAAATCCATTTGCATTAGTGTAGCGTCCCTTGTAAGCTGCGGTGCAGTGGTCTGTCAATCCGAACATCTCAAATTTCTAAGGGCCTCCGAGCACGAGAAACGAGAGCATATTTAAGTTTTGTCACAAGGCCCATGGCAAAAGAGCTGCTTGTCACGTTCGCTCCCCTTGGAAAGCATCTTAAGCAGCGAGTCTGCGCGATGACTGAATCGTAGGCGGTTTCTCATACTTAAAAGGATGCGTCTAGTTCAATAACATTTTATCCGAGCTTGCGTAATGTATGAACGCCCTCGCCTACCTTCCAGCTTGCGGATAAGAAATTTTTGATAGCTTCTAACAGTGCCACGTTGTATTTGCAGAGCGCTGTAAGCCTGGAGGATGACTCAGACTCGGCGGGCGGAGAGGAGCGCCTGCAGGCCCTGGGGCTGGCTGACGAGCTGCCACGTGGCACCTTTGAGGTGAGCTGCTCGGCAACAAGATCACAGAACGGAAGTCATCAGCTGTCAGACAGCACAAGATCTTTCGGCTTGTGAGAAAGGCGGAGGCGCTCTGGTGAGACGGGCTGTCGTTCTCTGATGAATTGCCGATTTCATTTGCAGAACTCTATCAGGAGACGGTGGAAGCTTCTGACCTCGAAATTATCCTTGCGGTCGAGAAAAACGGGCATCTTCCGCCAGTTTGAAGTATTTAATTCAAGGTCTGCTTCGGGGATTCCAAAGTTGTTCAGCAAGCTTCTCTTCGTGCAATTGTACTTTGCAGACAAACCCCAGTCTTCACTTGCTGGTACCTCTGTTCGACTGCCGGTATACGCGCAACCAAATATATCCCCCTAGGTTACATTTGAGCATCCAGTAATAATGATAGCTGAAGCTGCCGAAGATGCAGACGCACTTGCCATATTTCTGAGCCCTCTGGTACGAAAAATGGAGCTCACAAACCACATGCTATTTTGTTTCCCATCTGGTTACAGGCAGCCCTGAAGGTGCTCAAAAGCTCAAGTGGAAACTCTGTTTTCCCCTTTCTTGCAGGCCGCCGTGTCGCTCCTTGAAGACTGGATGCTCTTTTCTCACTTCTTTCACCGAGCATCCAGTACGAAACGTACACGCTGTTTGATTGAAGCTGACTGTTTTCGTATGCCTTTTCGCTCGCAGGCGGCCCTGAAGCTGCTCGAAGATTCGGACGCCCATGGCGTCGTCCAAGCGTCCGCTGTTGGCTGCTTCGTACTCCCGGAGGCGCTGCGCGACATCAAACTGGGGCCGAAACCTGCGCTTTCGTTATTCTCGGAGACAGTCACTGCGAACGGGTTAGCTAATGGAAATGAGATGTTAGACAGGGAAGGGGACAGTCAGAGGGAGAGCGATGAGAAACCAGGGTCGGGAGCTAAGGAGGTTGGAAAGGGAGATGAGGGAAAAGGGCCCGATAATCCGAATGCGAAAACTAGGGAGGGTACGGAGGGGTTTGGCAGCCGTGCTAACGGGCAGGTCGAATCTTTAGGGGAACACGAGACACGAACTTCGAAAGAAGAAAGGCTGGAGGGAGACGAAGAAGATGTTGATTACGGTAACCTGGACGTGGGTTTGGAAGACGAGGTGGATTACGAGATGGAGGAAGATGAGGGTTTGGGCGGAGTTAAGCGGACGGGTTCCAATGGGGTTCCTTTGCTCGAGGATGAGGGTTTAGACGACGAGGGGAGTGATCCCGAGCTTGATATTGTGCTTGGTCGCAGGATCGCGTCTTTAATAGGAGCAGAGAGCCGGTCTAAGGCTGCGAGGGATGCTAGCATGAAATCAGTTGGTAGGACGGAGGATGAGGAGGGGCCGCAAGATGAGGACTTTGAGGGTCCGAGAGGCGTGTTAGGAGATGCAAAGAAAAAAGGGGAGGAGGCAGCAGGAAAAAGTAGCGAGCTCGGTCGTCAAGGGCCCTCCGCTACTGGCGGCGAGTCTGTCCGGAGTACACAGCGACCGATCGCTTGATGCGTGTTCTATTACTTGCTTGCTGGCCAAGGGTTCTCTGTTATCTGCTTGCTCTCTTTTCTGATGCCTGCAATCGCTGAAGGAGTCCTCATTTGAATTACACCTGAAATCTGGTCCGTCCTTCAATCTTATGAGCCAAGTAAAGGGGTAAATACATCCGATGGGGTTGTTTGAAGTTTGGCACTATGGCTAGCATGCACCTTTCAACGCATGCCATACTGATCAGGATGGAGCTGTAGTGTTGTGCGCACTGTACGAGCATCACATGTACTAGCCGCTGAGCTTAGCCAAAGATTCGTCTTATATAAGAGCAACCTCGATCGAACCATTGGACTCGGATCTCCTTTGACCTCTAGAATCGATCTGGCCAGTTGCCGCCAGGCAGCTTCTGTGTGATTTGACAGGACAGCAAGTTGAATTTGTAGGCCGCCGATCATTTAAGAACTTCCGCTGATATGTTGAATCATATATTGCTTTAGTATATATTGATGGCCATGGTACGTCAAAGCTCCTTTGACAAACCGACGCCGATTGGATAACTGCATCGATCCAGTCAATTTCACGTTGAGCGGAGTGTACGCAATACTCATTCATTCCAAAGTGTTAAGTCCGGACGCTTAGCACATGGCCGAAAATACGGCTTACCACACGCGGCAGCCAGATCCAGGCTAGCTACGTATGTTGAGATTTGCGCAATGAAATGTTCCCCCCTAGCTTATAGCATGCCACCGCCGCCGGGCATCCGTTGATGACGGCACAGTTTAGGGATAGTAAGGGCCGTAGGAATCATATTTG